CAGCTGGAACCGAATTCTTGAGCCGAAACACACAAGCATGAGCTCTGAAACACATCCATTCATTGCTAAATCAACTCCAGCATGCTCCATTTCACTTTGAATTCTGTTGCTTCGTAAGCTGAGATTTGCACGTGGCAATATAGCCGGCGCATGCAGTGACGAGCACTGTGGGCTTCACCTGGCTCTCGGCTTGCTTCACAGCTGCTGGATGGTTGCGAAATCCAGTTCGCGCCGCGAAATGAGACCATGGTTCAACCAGTGGTGCCAAATGAAGTTCGTTCATCTTTCACGGACTGAACTCGGGTTGCACATGACTTACGTGCATGCGTGTTGGAGATGGCACGTGCTTCTTCAAGTGAAGTGAAAGGCAAGAAGAGTTGGGTGTCTTTATTTGTAGGGGGAACCCCCCCAAGAAAAACGGTGAGTTTCCTGGTGGTTTCCCTTTAAATCCGGAAAAGACAGACCCAGTTGACGAATTGACGAAGGGAACTGTATCATTACTTGTTTGGGGCTTTGGTCCCTTACCTGGATCTTGATGAGATCTATCTCATCTTGGAATCACAGCAAACAAACCAATCTAGCCTAGCCACTCCTCACATCGCTGAATGTCAGCAGGCGTTCGCCAGATTCCGCTTCACAGCCAACACCCCCTTTGTCACACTCTTGCTTCTCTGGTCAATCAGTTATATGGCCGTGTCTCTCTTTGACAATGGTTTCTCAGTTTCCTTCTTCTGGACCTAACGTGGCACTGTCAAAGGACCCCGCCAGTGCCAACTGATCAACTTTTGAAGGCACATCCAGTGACCCCTCCTTGAGGGTTCCCCTGGCGTTTTGTCTTTCCTTTTTTCCGGGACACCCTTGCGTAACCCCACCCGGGTCCCGGATCCCATCTCCGGGCGCCTGGACCCACTTCTCAGCACCCTGAAGGCGGAGGCACCAGCTCCAACATCCCAAGTCTAATACTGTGGATGGACGAAATCCTGCACCAAGGAAATACCATGGTTTCCCATGGTTTCAAAGTGGTGCAGGATTTCGTCCATCCACAGTATGGTTGGCATTTCTTTGAGTAAGCTGTTTGACCCTTTTCCGCATGGTTCGGCTCCAAGTACAACTAGCATGAAAATTGATGACATGTGGCTGCATTTTGCAGAAGCCGAAGATTTGAGCAGCTCTCTGTGGACCCAATGCTGAAAACGGGCATCAACTGCCAGTATCCTCCTGACCGTCATTCATTTGACGTGGACATCTCCAAAAGTCGCGAGCCTTCAAGCAGCCCTCTGCACACAGCTCAAAGGTAGCACTGTACGTCCATTCCTTGCTCGCTTAGAGTCCTGTGTTCACAAGAAGCGCATTTGATATGCGATCAGAATCTAACTGCTGTGAACGCCTTGCAAAGCAGGTTGCCTAGAGAATTGTGTGCCTGTGCAAAACTTGGCAACCTACTGGTGGATGGGGGTTGCAGGCAAACCGGAGGGATCCTAACTGGGGCACACGATTGAAGTGAGGTTTCAATCGTTGTCCAAGATGTGTGTTCATCAACCACACTGCTTTCACTCTCGCCTCCACCAATTCTGCCATTCTCACACTTGTCTGGTGGCTCAGCCAATCGCTGGGATGGCCTGTTGACCTTCCAAACAGATCTGCACGCCACTAGCCTACGCCACCCTATGCGCGTGGAGTTCTTGCTGCACAGCTCCAATCTCGAGCCCGGGCCTTTCCGCTGGCCTTGGCGCTGGCCTTGCCCTCCTTGCCCTTGCCTTACCGGAGAATCGCAGGAACCCGGGTTGACCAATGCCCAGAGCTCTGCATATATGGCAGTCATAGACATGTTTGGGGCATAGCCTGGTCTCACTTCCTGAGTGGACTGGCCAAAAAAGGTCCAAGCTTCTTCCTTGCCACTCAGGTGGTCTTCAAAAAAGAAGTCCATGAACTCAGGAAGTGAGGGGTCGCGCCAAACCTGGAAACCCCTTACAAAACGCGCTAGCCGTGGCAGACCTGCGCTCGCAAAAAAAAAATCCCAGGCTGCTGGCCCTTGGGCGCCGCTCCCTGGCGAGGAGCTCATTGGATCTGATGTGGCCATGGGTGTCATAACCCATGGCGAGCCATTTCGGGGCGGAACACCCATGTGCCACCTATTTTGATGTTCACCAGGGGTTTCCTGGGTTTTGACCCAAACCCAGGTGGGGATGAATTTTGACTAGGGACCCTTTGGTGGATATCATTTAGGTATTTAGGTGGGGATTCTTGTCCACCAACCACTTGTGAGGTGTGGGTTGGGAGATGGTCGTACCTTCCCAGGAAAAACAAGACAGGCTTCCCCAGGAAAAGACGGTCGAGGGACTTCCATGTAAGAGGGACCTCTGAGAGCACGGACTGCCAGAGAGAGTATGCATCTTAATTAGGGACCTTTTGGGGACATCACTTAGGTGGGGATTCTTGTCCACCAACAACTTTTGAGGTGGTCCCCTATTAAAACTTACGGCCATGTTGCAATATACAGTATCCAAGACGAACGAGCGAATCCGGGTCTCTGAGCACTGACTGCGCGCCCTTGAGGAAGTTTGGGGTGGCCAAAACCTGAAGTTAGAAGTGGATCCCCATTTTGCATTTTGGCGATCTAAGCGCTGCGCCATGAAGGGATCCCCAAGAAAAGGATCTTTACCAAATTGTGAGCTCCTTTTACGTCCAGGCGAGCTCGCTATAACATAGGCACATTGGATACAGGCTCGAATGCAAGATACTTCATGTTGTATCCCATAGCTTCAAGTGCAGAAATGGAATCGAGGCTAAGCCAAAACATTCCGCTCGTCAATGATGCTCTTACTTTGTCTTTGACCCTTACAAGATCCATCTGCCTGTGCGAGCAGCTAGTTTGGACGAGCGAGCGAGTGCTGCGCTCCGCTTCTTGCGCCAGGAGGCAGCAGAGACACGGCGAGTTCCAACGTTAGTGGCAAATGTTACACGAGTTGGCAAACATGACGCAATAATTAACAAGGGCCAAAGGAAGGTGGGCTGACATGCGCTGTTAACCATCGTAGATGGAAAAGCTGAAGGTCAAAGGTTGGCAGTTGACAACTCCCAATCGCAAATGAACAGGCTTTGAGGGGTACGCGTCCATGTCCTCCCGACAATACAAGTCCGGCCCGCCTTGCCGGTCCCTTTGCCTCGTTCGCTGGTCAAATAGGCGAAACAAAGGACTTTACATCAAGCAGACCAACCACAGGAAGCCGTGTCACGTGGCTGTTTGGGGAGGACAGCGGCATACACATGATATAAGCGCTCACACAATAATTTCATGGGCAACTCCCGGAGAGGTATCAAAGCTAGCCAATGTTGGCAGCTACGCAATTTCCCTTCCGGGGTGGCTAGGGAAAGCCTTCAGCATACGAAATCAAATCACATTGAGAAGCACAACTGTCATGATAGGCGTTGTCGAGACTGGCTTGCTTAAGCGCTTGGTCGGTTTGGGCGCCAGTACTGCTCTAAATAGCACCCACACCTGCATTTGTGCTTGCAACATTAACGACGATCACTTTTATGCATTGTCGTAGGTGCCTCATTTGCTTTTACTCGAAGGATTGCCGGCATTCTGTATTGCCTGCCCTTTGACTGTGGGGCACTATCCACCTGACTCTCTTTGAGCGACCTGCCTGCATATCTCCATCCCTCCCGGCCTTTGCCTTTGCCTTTGCCTTTTGGAGCACCCATGGCTGCCACTTTTTTGTGAGAAAGCCGAAATGCTAGCCGGGCGATGTGATTCAAGCACGGGCACTTGGTCACTTCAGTCTCCAGGCCAAACAATTGGAATGTCTCGTCAGAAACACGCAAAACAAAACATGCCACCTAGACATCCTCAGTGCCTCAGTGCCTCTGTATGTTTGTGCTTGCGCACAACATCAATTTCGACGGTTCGGCTGTCATGGATCACCGGGGGAAAACCAGGTCCAGGTGCATTGCATTCTCCCAATGAGCACAAAAAAACCCAAGTGATGATGATGATTTTAGACCAGATTCTTGTAACATGGCTCCGCGTAAGAAACCATGCGGACCGTGGAAGCTTGCGCAAAGGTTCATGCTAAATCTAGGGCCGCTTTCACTAAGATATTTGTTCCTGATGTTTGAGTGCCCTCTTGTCCCATGTCATTGTCATAGGTCAGTAAGCCCATTGGAAGCCCGATGCTGAAAACCACACTGCTGGTCATTTTGGATTTCTCGAAAAATGTGCAGCAAAGCGGACGCCGCGCGCAAACATTTGCTTCCCAACGCGACCTCTGGGACCTTGCGTATTGCTTGCCGGCCGGCCAGGCGGCTAGCTGGTTGGCTTGAAGCTGCAATTTTGAAAATTGTGGTAAGCGAGAACCAGGAGCGGAAGCCAAACATGGGGTCGCATAAGTCACACGGCAGGTTTCGCAGCAGCCCGTTGAACCTGTCAACGAGTCTTGGGCACTGCTCAAATGGATACACTATGAGCAAACACTAGGAACCCTCCTAGATGGCTTCGTGTCTGTTCGCGGCTAAAGCCATGCCCACAGCGGTCCCTAGACTTGAACATGTTAGCCCTCTTGCATTCACGGTCCACGGTCACTCCGTGCTTAACTGCTGGGCCTGCCATATTGAGGTGCCGCAAAAAAGACGCATGTCATGTCCACAACTTCCGCGCTTCGGCCCGATTTTCCAGACGCGCTCCGGGCAGACTGTTGTCTCGACTTACTCAGGCTGCGACCTGCGGAACGTAGGACATGAACATGAGACGTATCCCGCTTTGGAGCTCCAATGATGATCCATCAAAATACAGCATCATTTCCGTAGGGAGTACCACACCAATGCCCTCCAAGCATGGGCTGACATACTACAATTAACATAACATTGGGTGCTTCACTCACGCAACCCTTTACAATCTATGCAGGGTCGAAAAGCGCGTAACACTTGCCATTTTGAGTCCCTGTTCTTTCAAATAGCTCTGGAAATCAAAGAGCTCTGCACCCCGTTGCTTTTCCGAGCTAAGACCGTTTGAGCAGCTGCAGCAGCTGCGAGCCGCGGCCCTCGCAGCGGGGCTGCCAGCAGGTGCTGGAAACCACGTTCCGAGCCAGATCTGCGACCTGCGGAAGGGGGTTGGGCCATTGAACCCCTAGTTCATGGAATACAATGACATACTTATGTGTATATATATATAAAGTGTAATACAATGACATATTTTTACAATATAATTATATATTGGTAATAATATATATATATATATATATATATATGTACACATACACATACACAATATGTTTGGACCACCATTGTTCGATTACACCATACTCTTCTGGCTTGCCAAACAACTCCTCAACATGTCATTCCGGGCCAGCCATCCGTAACAAAGCCTTTGTCTGGGGCAATTTGTGGCAAGGCGCAAAGACCCAGAACAGGAGCACGAGCGAGATGCTTCCTGAGAGGCGTACGGCGAAACACCCGCTCGGTGCTTGACCAATATCTATCCGCAGCTTGGGCAATTGACAATGCGGTCACATCGCATATGGTTCATGGCAGTGCCTCAAACGGGTGTCTCAGCCTGTTGCTTGAGGAGCTGTTGGACCGAACAGCAAAGGCCCCCTGGTTGCAAAGTACATCTCAAGACTGTGTTGCGACAACACATAACACGAAAAAATACAACTCAATGACCTGTCCCGCATGGCAAATCTCGTAGACGAAAAACTTTACAGATGTCTGAAACGCAGCAAAGATTCCAATTGTCAAGCAAAGCTCCACGCGGCTGACAGCGCAGTAGCCTTGGTAGAGCACCTCGTAGAGGTGTGCCTAAGCAACGCCAAACAATGATAGCTCTGACCTTCAGTCAGAATTCCTGAAACCGCGCAGGACCTCTATAGCCTCTTCGAGGCTTGGTCGCACATCGTCCAAAACTTTGGGCGTTGGCCAAACGTCAAACTGGCCTGTGAAACCATGGGGAAACTATTGTTTGTTGGTATTTCCAGTGGAATCGTCATTCCAGGGTTTCTTAGGTGGTGCCGGATTTCGTCCATCAGCACATCTGTCAGAATAAAAACTCACCTCAATTCCCAGGTCCTAAGTGGAACTACACTCACTGCAATTGAGTCGCCGCTTTGTTCATCGCGCCATCGCCGGACTCCCCACCAGTTACAGCGATGGCCTTGAGTGTCACGCGCGGGCGCGGTTTCTTCAGCGTGACTCGTTTGCCCTGAAGACCAAAGTACATGGGCAACTGGGGCGCATGCAGTGACAAGATTCTACAAAAACAATGCAGTCTTTGTGTGATCCTGCCATCCAATGACTGCGGAGCAGCCGGCACGATCAACAAGCAATCAGAGCGCCCCGACTGCGAAACATGTGTTGTGGTCTTCCATTTGCTGAAGCCACCTAGAAAAAAAAGCAAAAAAATCCAGTAGTCATAGATTCCCGTCAAGACCAACAGGGAAAACAAACAAAAACAAACATCTTAAGCAAATGGAAGTGGTTGAACACGTGTCAAACAACCTTGCCCATACCAGACCCGCCGAGCAATTCGATAGAACCCGGGCCGATCCCAACTTCGAAACCGGTCAAGGCGCCACGTGTCCAACGCTGATGCCTTAGGGCCAGTTCTGGGCGACGTGGTGGGTACAAATCCAAATTGGCTGCGGGTCAAAAGTAGGTTAACCCCAAAATGGAACCCTGGTAGGAAACATGGTTTCTAAAACCTGCGGTCCAATTCCTGGTGGTTTAATTTTGACCCACAGCCAAATTTTCCCCCCAGTGAACATCCGATTCAATCCAACCACTAAAAAAGGAAGCCTAAAATGGGTGAATTCACCTACCCCAAATGGGATCCCATTGGTGTTGACCCACAGCCACGTGAGGGAAATAAGGAAACAAGGAACACGTCTGGATGAAACGCAGCTTCTGCCTGCAACTGCATCCCAAGAAAAAGGCTTTCCAGCATAGCCCCGTTGCACCGGGGTCAGTGACGTTGCAGCTGCAAGCTTCTTGGACAACCATCTCACGGGACAAAAGTGAAAACCGACTCGCAAACTCACATGCTTCGAGAACACGCCATGGCACGCCGCCTCCTTTGGACTCGCTTTGCACTGCTTGCACTCTCGGGGGGTGCAGTTGAACAGCAACATCACCACACTGTTCTCTCTGCAGGCTTTTTGGTCAAGTGGGCAAGTACAGAAACATTTGGCGAACCACATCATTGGCGGATTACACGCAAACTCATGGTCACCTTAAAGCGCGGCAAGAACCGGGCACTAAAGGGGACAGCACAGCCCCCGCACACAAGAAACAAAACAACCATGCAGGATCTTCGTGTTTTTCTAGCGCTGAGATGTCAGGTAGAACTGCACCGTTGAAGAGCGGAAGGTGAATCGGAGCAAACCAAATCCGAGCTACTGATGTAGTACGCGTGGATGGGTGCCAAGCCAGCAGCAACTGCTGTAGTAACACCAGGAAATAAGATCGAAGGAAGCCAAACCAATGCCTTGGATATAGAGCGTCTTCTGTGCTCTCTTTCTCTCTCTCTCTCTCTCTCTCTCTGTCTCTCTCTCTCTCTCTCTCTCTCTCTCTCCCCCGCTCTCACTCTATCTTTCGGTTTCTGGTGTGCTCTCATGCAGTAAAGCATTTCTGAATTTGCCTGAACATTATTCAGACCTGTCGGCCTCGCGAGCGCCAGTGCGGACATGTTGTCAGGCCAACCAATATGCTTGATGAGAATAGGTTTTACAATATAACAAACGGGTTTGTCTCAAAATAGGGGGACCAAAAATCCAGTGGTTTTCTTTGGGGGACCCAACAACTGGTGGTTCCTCCTGGTTCACCTTTAAAGCCAGCCAACAAGGGGACTCCCCCGAACAAAGAAGCTCCCAAAGGCCAAGCTTTGCGCTGCAGCAAAATGGCGACCTCAGATTCTACGTAATGCAGCTGCGGCGCTAAGCCGAGAACTTCCACAAAGCCAATGCAGCAAAAGTGCCTGCGAGCTCGGATTCCAACGCTCAATCATTAGTCCTCCTTGAATCTCATAGCTCGAGAGCAACAAGCACAGCGTGGATTCCCTTTGATTCCCTCCGCCTTTCAAGTGGGAACCTACGATTTTCCTGTCTTGGAAGGCGTTGATTTGTGGCCTTGCCGTTGACGAAGCGACACCCGTCTGCCTCTAGTATCGAATGTATCCATGGGTTTGCTCGGGTTGGGCGATTCAACCCCCATGTTTAAACGTGGTTAAGCCACTGTTGTTGCAACAACCTTCTTTTGGCTTCCACTTCAAGGGAACCAAGGTCTGCCTGGACCCTCAAACTACCCCTAAAAAAGGAGACTACCACCCCGTATTTTTGGGGCAACAACCTTTTCTAGAGGTATTTTGAGGGTCCAGGTGGCTGTTTCAACCACATGTGCAACCACCCTGTCCCGTCCTTCGGACGTTGCCTGGCCGGGGCCGGCCCAGCATCTGGAGCAGCAGGGTGCTGATGAAGAAGGCAATACATCCGCAGACCAGGAAGGGCAAGGAAATGGCTCCTAACGGGCGTATTGGAGAGATGCATGGCGGATGCTTGGATTCCAGCTGCAAGTACCATGAGTTTTCAGCCAAGCTGACCTAATTACAACAGCATAGACCCCAAATAGCATGGCGGATTTTGAACAGCACCCTGACTGCATGGACAAACAAGCGCTAGCAGCTGCCAGTGTCTTGGGTACCCCAAACAGCACCTTCAAGTGCACCTAAACCCAACCAGTACCCTGATTAATACCAGCAGCAACACCCGAACCAGCACCCTGACCCTTACTGCATCGCCAAGCAAGCACCGCCAGTAGTCACCGCACCACTTTGAGCACCCTGATAAGCACTTTCAGCAGCTGCTACATCCAAAAAGGCACCCAGACCAGCACCCTGCCTGCATCCCCAAGCAAGCGCCACCAGCAACTTTCACTACCCTCGCCCCAAACAGAACCTGACCTACAAGCTCGCTGCGTCGCGAAAGCCATGCCAGCAACCACCACACCACCTTGAGGCACACCAAACAGCACCCTGACCAAGAACCCACAGCAGCACCCCTGCCTGCATCGCAAAACAAGAACTGCCACCCTGCAAATTGCACTCACCAGCAGCACCCTGACTTTTCCACCATTTACCTCAATTGGATCTTGCTCGACTTTTGCTTGCTGAGACAAGCCAATCTCAAAACCATGGTTCTATTCTTGAACATGTTTTTCAGATGCCCGAAGGACATCATGCCTTTTTGACCACAAACCACACGTGAAAAGGAACGGTATATGAGTGGCGGGCATGGATTGCACAAGAGCCGCCGCGTCCGATAGGCTGAGCAGAGTCATGGATCAGCTTTCAACCTGCATGCATCTGCCTGAGACCTTCCGCTGCATGGCAGCCGCTCTAGAGACAAAACAGCACAAAGGGAGCAAGGGGGGAGGGAGAGAGAGGAACTGGCCGCAAATCCACACCAAGGTCCTGTCAGCGTCTGGATTCACCTATATTCCAGTAGCCGCGGTCCCACCTCATCCCCTCATCCCCTCATCTCCCCTCATCTCCCCTCATCTCCCCTCATCTCCCCAACCGTCCAACCCAACCCAACCGAACCCAACCGAACCCAACCGCTCCCAAAGCGCGGAAGACCACGGAATAGAGCCCTCGGCAGGCCGCCAAGTCGGCCGTCCGCTGGCCCTGCGTGGAGTTCTGCAAGCCTCGGCGTCGCAAGTGACTCGTGGTTTCTCGGTAGGCGTCACCCTCCCAACAATTGTGGAACCTGACGTCTTGGGGCTGGAAAACAATATGCAGTGGCTCAAAAAGCCGGAATTCCAAAATGAGTTGCCCTGACAAGTGGAAACATGGACCAAAATGTGCGTAACCCTTTGAGCCACACCCATATTAGTCTAGGGGTTGAGTCCTTGTCCATTCTTTTCAACCATCGTTCTTTTCAAAAACCAGCTGTTTCCCCAGGGTTCTGATGGTTTCTGAAAAGAAGGATCGGTGGAAAGAATGGGGAAGTGTAGTACAGGTAGGCGTCACCCTCCCAGCAATTATTAAAACATGGAACCTGACCTTTGGGGGGGCCCTGGAAGACGAAATTGAAAATTACAGGGACCCCCTGTCCCTGCCAAGTGGACTGGTTGGATGGCTGGGGTGTTGTTTGCGTGTGCAAACAGGAATAATCAGTACCACAGCTTGAGTGAGGGCGAGTCAGGTTGTTGGCGGTGGGAGCAGCCGTAATCGTGGAACATCCTCAGTTCCCGACTTGGCTCCTGTTCGCCCTGCATGCTTCTGGGGGCTTCAGGTGGTTCGGGCGCTGACTCGCCTCGCCTGTGTGCTTGTGGGGCAGCGAGTTGCGCAAACCCACCACTTTGCTGGTTGACTGCCAGGCATGGTTGACACCATCTTGATGACTGGTGATTCGGGTAGGTGTTGTCATGGACAGGGTGCGCACAGGAAGTTGGTTGGCCTTGAGTCTGGAGGATCCTTCGGCACTGCAGTTGCGAACCCCCCCTGGTCTTAGCGCGCTGTTTGGGTCTGCCCTTTTTGCGCATGCCAAGGAAGTGTTGAGCAGGCGACAAGAGCAGGACTCTGAGTTGTTGCTTGATCCCCCGGCTGAGATTCAGGTTCTTGCCGTGCCCATGGATTGCGACGCTTTGCCTGAGGTTCAGTTGCACTTCCATGGATAAATTTGGTTGCATTTTGCATGCTTTTGGTTTGTCGCGACGCGCCCAGACGCAGACGCTATGCATTCGAGAGAGAGAGAGAGAGAGCGAGCGAGCTGAAAACAGTCGCTTTCGCTTCTGCTAAATTAACCATGCCATTCCAAAAACATCCAACTCAAGCAGTCACTCCCACAACATATCTATAGGATGGCACTGCAAGATGGTGAGACAGAAAGCACATCCGTGCATGGCAAAGGACTCTGAAACCTGATGAAGCAAACACGCGTGGGCAAACATTCACATGGCGAAACGGCGCACGAGCTCCCAAGAACGCTTGCTGCCTTACTCCGGCTGTTCAATTGACCTCAAACAGCTGACCCACGTGGCAGCTCGACAAGCGAGCAGGCGGACTGCGGGATCTTACACTTGGATCATTGAAGGTGTCCTTTTTATGCTTTGTCTGGGTACCCCCTTTTGAGGATCTTCCGGGAAGTCAAAACGCAAGACATATCAGCTTCCCTGCAATTGTTGGTGTGGATTGCTGGTTTGGTGTTACAGGGTAGTTGCCAATTTATCCTCCACTTAAAAGCCAGGGGGTCACATCCAAATCCAAACCACCAACCCCAACGAATTACCAAACCACCAATCCGAACCACCAACTGAGGGCGACCTGATACGAATTTGAGGGTCGCCCCTCCACCGCAAAAAAAGAACAAAACAAGAAAACACAAAAACGAGCGGGTCCAGGGGTTCCCGCCTAGGGTCTCCACTCGGCAAAGCTCTGCCTCCCCTGGTGGCCGCACGGTCCACAAGCCAAAGCCTGGCGCTAGGGCGCTAGGACCCAAGTGGCAAACAGGGACCCTCGGGTGGGTTGACCAGTTTTGTGATGAAAATCCATCAGAAGGACCCTGGTAGCGTCTTTTGTGGAGAAGCCACCAAAAGGCTTGCCTGCGACCATGGCATGGAACCGGATCTGAGTGCAGCCGGCCTTGTTTTTTGCCGGTGGATTCAATCCCACCAAAAGGGAAAGAAGACGACTCTGCACACATGGGAGGATCTGTTTGGAGAAGTGGTGGGTACCTACAACAAAGGTGTTGCACCATAGTTGTGATCTTAGAGAGTTCTCGGGACGCACTCAGATGGAAAGTACACCCACGGGAACTCACGCAAGACCAATCCCATTTGAAGAACATGCATGGGTGCTTAGTTTGCGTGGCCTGCTTGTGTCTGACCTCGGTTGCTTTCTGCTCCCTGCTAAAGGTTTAACTTTTAGTGGTTTAATGGAAACCCACTAGTTGGCAAAAAGTCAAAGTCCTAACATCCAAGCAAAATGAACCAAAGTGACCTTTGCGCTTTTGCACTTCTCATGGTTGTTGCTCCATCCTGACTGATCGAGCGGTCACTCAAGCATTGTCATGACTTGGCTTCAACCCTGGTTTGCAGGCTCCCCCCCCTTCCGTCGCTCTAACATTCATGTGTGTGTACACCTACACATGTACTAATACAAACAAAAACACGAATACTCATGCGCATATTAACTTCACAATCCCTACCCTGTTTACTGCATGCCACGTGAAACTTGTATCTTGTGAACTGAGAAAAAGGGGTCCAGGTCGGGCAGCGGCTCAAACTATTGGTTCCAAATCGTCTGCAGAGAGCACTCTGTTCGGGACATCTGGATCACCGTGAAGCATTCAGAAGCATTCAGAAGCTTGGCTGGCAGCTCCGAAACCCTCCGGACACTCAGCTTCAGAATGGTCGGGAACAGGTCTGGAAGGTGTCTGGATCGGGGTCTGGAATGGGCCATCAAACCTGATCCGGAAAGCCGACTCTCTCTCCCCCTATTCTTCTTCCCCTCTCTCTCTCTCTCTCTCTCTCTCTCTCTCTCTCTCTCTCTCTCTCTCTCTCTCTCTCTCTCTCTCGCTGTCCAAGTATCCTCGTCTTTTCCTCGTTACTTCCGTTTATTATTTTTACCTTTTTCGTATCATTTATTTCTTCTTCATTTATTCATGTTGTTGCTTTTTCTTCTGATTTCATATTTTCTTTTAGGTATTTCCTTTTTTGTGTCTTTCCTTCTCTGTTTCTTATTATCGTTGTGGTTCTTCTCTTATATGTTCATTTACTTCATGTATGGTCTTTCTTTTACTTTCCTTCTTTGTTTTGCTTGTCTATTTGCTTATTTGCTTCTTTGCTTCTTGTTTCTTTCGTTCATTCTTTCTTCCTTCCTTTCTTCCTTTCTGACATTCTTTCTGTCTGTCTGACCCCCTTCATTTATCTTTTTGTGTCTTTGCTCTTTTTTTATCACGCTGGGTCCAGGGTCTGTGCAGCTGAGCCGGACATCTGGAACCGCTGGGGTGTGTTCCGGATCTATGCACGCATGCGCGGATGTGAGAAATTTATATTATATATACATAATGCCTTGGCTGGCTGGCTGGCTTGGTTGGGTGGGTTTGGTTTGGTTTGGTTTGGTTTGGTTTGGTTTGGTTTGGTTTGGTTTGGTTTGGTTTGGTTTGGCTGCTGGGTTGGCTTGTGGCCAGCGCATGTTAGCGAGGCTTTTGGCCGCTTCTGATTGGTAAAACGTCCATTGCGGCCACTGGCCTGGTCCTCAACCTTGATAAAGCGGCCATTGTGAATAAAACGGCCATAGGCTGGCCGGCCTTGATAAAACTGCAAGCGGCTTTGATGAAACGGCCACTGCGGCTGGCCGGCCTTGATAAAGTTGCCATTCTGCCAGCCCTTGACAAAAATGGCTCGGCCTGGCCGCTGATAAACTCCTTATACGGGACAATATGAAATCGGCCATCCGCAGCCCGAATCTACAAATCTGGCCATTTGTCCGCTTCTGGTTGATAAAACGGCCATGGCCAAAGCTTGGGGTTCAAGCCGGTCGCAAGATATATTTATGCTCGCCCCCCCTTCAACTCGAAGACAGGAAAGGTAGGCCCTGGGGGGGTACAGTATATATATATATATATATCATACATAAACAGTCTCACAAACACACACATGCGCACGCATTCACAGCTTCCGGAATGGGGGATCTGCACCTGACAAAAGCAGCAGCAGCGCCAGGATCGCCAGCAGCAGCAACGCCACCTCTGCTGCCAGCAGCGGCCAGTCCCGAGCCTAGCCAAAGGCGATGGCGAAACGCAATTTGCGAGGGCGAAACCAGGTGCCTTTGGTGCTGTATCTTTGGTGCCTTTTGTTGCCTCGTTCTTGTTTATTTATTTGTGTAGCGCGGAAGCCGCGGAACCAGGTGCTTTTGTGTACCGATTTTCTTGTCACGCGCTCAGCTCGAAGTCCCAGAGGCCTGAGGTCCCGAAAGCGCTCGGGTGGTTTTGATAGTGCCCTTTAGTGGCTTCAAATAGAAGCCCACGGGAGAACCATGTTTGTGGCTCGTGTATTTTCTATTTGTTTGTGTCTTTGGCTGCTTTTGTGGCTTTTTGCTTTTAAGAGGGGGGGGGGCGCGGTGGTCACTCTATTTTGAGATTCCCATTTAACTTTGAGATGGTGAAACGTCACGACCACCATAAGCAATATGCTTCTACAGCAAGCGTTTTGTGGTGTGACATGTGACGGAGAGGGTAATTCAGCTGAGACGGTTACTATGAGGATAGTCAGTAGTTGATTCAACTCATGCCGGCATGACTTCTACTTAGGCTTGCGAATCACCGGATAAACAAGCAAAACTGGTTTATGTGCATGTAATCACGAATTGTTTGCCACACAAATGTGTGTGTGCGTGTGTGTGCCAAATCTATGCCCAAGGTAAGCCTGCCGGTTTGGCCGATACTTTCCCTAGGCGTAGCTATAATTCGCTTTGTTCTACAAATTGCCAAGTGACCATGATGCGCTGCCTGGCTCAGTATACATCCGATGAGTTGGGACAACACCCACACACACACAGAATCGCATTGGCCCTTGCCGCAGAATCATGTGTGTGTGTGTGCGCTTGCTCCTGTTGCTTCTGCGACCCAGGCCAGCTCACGCCAGTCCTCGGCGCCCACGGCTTGCTATTTCTCATCTAAGCCGCGCAAGGGGAATCCGCTGGCAGTCCGCTGGCATCTGCGGAAGGAATTGAAGAGATATGGCTCATGCTATATGTTCTCGGCGCGCCGAAGCTGCTTACTGTTTCAAGACTCACTTCCCTAGCCTGAGTGTAACGGGAGGTCCTGGGGCATGCCGGCATGCTTGTAGACACACAAATCAGAGATCCAATAAATACTAGCTCCAACCAAAAACTACAGCCCAGTGCAAATTGGCATGTCGAACGTGGCATTGGATGGGAGCTTTGCTTTTGTTGGCAGTGCAAGCGTGGTCCAGAAGTCAAGTGCCCACCTCGGATCTTTCGCAACACTCCCTCCCCGGGCGGATTCTTCCCCACAGACCTTGCCTCCTCTTCCTCCTCCTCTGAACTGGAGCTCCCCAGTGGCTTCATGGGCTGCAACGCTGAGGGCGCATGACCCCGTTCTAAAGCGAGCAAACATGGGGGGAGGGATGCTATGTGTTGAGTCATGCCATGTGTGTGTGTGTGTATGTGTCTGGGAGTGGGTGCGATTTGATTTGGGGCATGTTTGCATGCTTTTTGCTTGTGCTTGTGCGTGTGTCAGTCAGAATGAGCTTGCCATGCTTCGTGTCACTGGGATTCATCTCGAACGAGTTGCGGGGCTCTTTTTCTGCGGACTGACTAGCTGCTCGGCAGCTCAAGGGCTTCGCTCATGGCTCTCTGAAGATGTGAGTCTAAGTCGGGGGCGTCTTTGATCTGTGTCATGTGTTAAGTCTGGGCTGCCCTCCGATCCCCCTCTAAAAGTTTAACTTTTAGTGGGTTGAATGCAAACTACCACTAAACACTAAAAAGCTGAAAGGCTAAGGGGATGGCTGGGAGCCACCAAGAAGTGTAAGTCTCTCAAAATGTGAGTCTGTGTCATGTCCCATACATGCTGAGCATCTCTTTGCCGAATGTGTCATCTGTCTTGGTCTCGATGAGAGACCGCTCCATGCGTGCCAACGCGCTGCAAGATACGAGAGGCGCGTCGGCATCCGCACGTTGTTTGAAATTGCAGCCACTCATGAACCCCAACGCCCACGAACCCGGACCGGTTACTGCTGGCCAGGGGCCCCTTTCGCAGCACGGGAATCAAATGCAGAGTACTTCTTGCAGCTCAAGACGCCTTTGGAGCAGCTAACATCTAACCCGGCAACTGGGGTTTCTACGTCGCAGCTGGCCCCAGGTTCCTGAGTTTACTTTTGCTCCTGGCGCCCTTAGGATCTTACAGCTCGTCCCTACAGACTTGGCCCGGCCCTTGCCTCCTCTTCCTCAGCAACTGGTGAAACCCCACCAGCCTGGCACAGGCAAAGAAACCATGTCCGCCCTGAACATCAATACGATGGTTCGAATCATGCCACAGAGTTCTATATTTGGATTGCCTTACTCGACATGCGATACCACACGGTCCTGAGATACAACACCTGCGATTGTGTACCGATGAGTTCTCCAGTTCAGAGAAGAAGAGCCTACCCGTCAGACTCTTTGGGCTCATTGAAGTTCAACATGTCCTCTGTTCGGTTTGTGCTCTCTGCCTGGCCCATGGTTTGTTGGCATGGACTTTGCATGGAATCAAGTGGCGATGCCGATGGTTCACAGCTCAAGCAACAAATTCCTGTCATCAAGTAAGGAGAATCGCACCCAGTCCTCACCGGAAGCAATGAAAGAGACCGCAAAAGCCAAGAATCATACATCTGGCGTGGCTGGATCCAAACAGCTGAAAGCCCTTTTCCCAACTGGCATCCCTCAAATCAAATATTTGTAGGATGTCTTCTTAGAAAGCAATTGGCCAACTCGCCACGAGCTCATTTTGCGCCATGTTCCCCGCTGGCCTTTGGGCCTGACCTCAAGCCCGGCGCAACTGCCTGCACCTGGCTTCGAACTTCCAGAGGTTTGGATGTAATCACAGCCACAAAAAGCCGGACTTCTTTGCAACCCTGTCTTCGCAGGAATATGGGTCTGTCGCTTTTTTTGAGAATCCCCGAAGAAGGCTGCTTTCCTTTTGGCTTCCCTTCTAAACCACCAAACTAGGGCTCCCCAAAAAGACACACACATATGTGCTTCAATTGTCTTTGGGTGATTTTGGGTGAACAGCACGTGATAGTTTCACTGGGAAGTTTTTTTTTGAGCAAATGGCCAAAAGTCTGACTGACGAAATTAGTTCATGTGGCCAGTCAGACTGCCGAGACAGCCTGACCAGCAGCAAAGTAGCTCAGAAGTTGTGGACGCAAAGTGCAAGCTGTGCAACCCCACTATCCGCAGAGGCGTACCTGTTCTTTAATAACACAAACTCCAGTGCTCTTAGATCCACTCAACACGCCACATGAAGGCATGCTGCATATCTGGATACCCAGAATTGATCGATTTCGAAGGATGGCAACAATCTCTCGACTTCAGAGGTCCCATTTTGCGTCAATCTTCGGTCTCTGTGAAGGGCCTTCCTGTGAGCTGGTCCCTCGACTCTCTGTCGATCAACACAAAGGTTGATGTGCTCTGCCCCAACATTTGTCAACCAGCACCGGGATCATGGAGACCAAAGGAACACAAGCGGGAAAGCTTGTTTATAGCTGCACTCACTGAGATGTTCCTGGGCTGTCCTCAGATCCCCTGCTAAAGGTTTAGCTTTTAGTGGGTTAAATGGAAATCCCGACTAAACACTGAAAAGCTAAAAAACTAAGGGGATGGCTGGGAACCACCATGGTTCGCATCTGCACTCGCCCGCTGGTAGATGTGTCTTGTATTTCAAAAGGAAGGGCGTGAGCTCCTCACACCTCTCGAAACACACCCTCGCAATTCGAGCTTTCCAAGGTCTACCCTGAAACACATGGGAGTTGTTGCCATCGTGAGCGATTCTGCCCTTCTTTAGGGGAAGGCCCCCTTATGGGGGAGTGGAGAATAGTGGGGAACAAATACAATGCACCATAGTGGACCGTGGACCATGGAAGGGAATGGTCTCCTAGTTCTTTTAGGGTGGAGCCTTCCCTTTGCCGTGCCTCGATGCCGGGAGGTGCCCCAATGCCCCGCGGCAGGGTCGGCACCTCGGAGATCGGAGATCCGAGCGGCCGAAGCGTCCGCGGTGACGTGGGCGTGTGGTGTGCTCGCCTTTTCGGGGTGGACTCAGAGGGAAGTTCCATCCAGTTTGGTTTTTGGGGTGCCCTATGATTTAACGCCAGGAAGCCATCCATTTCTTGTTTTTGGGTGCCCTATGTTTTCACGGAACCATTTTTGCTTTTTGGTGCCCTATGATTAAAAAAAAGCAAGAACGCCAGGAAACCATGCAATTTGGGGGATGCCCACTTTTGAGGCAGGACATGCCAGGGATGACCAGAAATGCACTCGTCGTCTGAGCAATATTTAGCATGAGCCAACCCTTGCACTCCATGCATTACATGCTTGAGACATGGCACATGGTTCAATCCTTGCACGCAAAACAATTGGAACTGGTCAAGAGGCCAAAAGATAGATGTCATTTGCGAAGCATATTAGGCCGCTTCCACTTTTGGAGAGCGGCTAATACTGAAGGCTGGCTTTGAGGGAAACCACAAGGACAACCGCAAGTTCTAGGGGTCTCTCTCTTCTCCGACGGATCTTCGCTCCGCGCTGTGCGCGGATAGCCGGCAGCGCCACTCCAAGCCTCCAAGCAAGCTCTCAAAGCCTCAAACGATCCTTTGGAGATGTTGGAGCCAAAACCCGTGAACATGGAAAGCTTGTTTCTTGCCTCTAAGTTAGCATTTTTTCCTCCAGTTGACAAGTTGACTTGTGGCTGCGAGTGAGGTTGAAACCATGCCTGTATAAGCTCTGATTGGGACCTGTTGAGACCCTTTGGCAAACATCTAGCCATTTTTTAACAGTGTGCCCCATAAAATAACAAATAAGTAAATAATATACATACATACATATAAGTATACATATATATATATATATATCATTCATTTGTCAAACCTGAATGCCCTGGCTGGAAACGGGAAAGGTACATCTGGAGTTGTGCTAGGGGTGGCACAAGTGGATGAACAACCTGACCATGTGCATATATCCCTTTACATGTGTGTGTATATAAGTATGGGCATGGGTTCAACTCCCGTACCCCCAGTGAACATCCCAATCCCCACTAGAATAGACCAACATGGGTGGTGCACCCACCCCAAAATGGGATCCCCTTGGTTTTGACCCACAGCCATATACACACAATTTGCCAGGCAACTCCTGCTAAGCCTCGGGGCACAGCCTTCCAGTGGACCTCTTCTACGGTCTGGTTCCGTGGAGCTCCCTCGATGCAAAACGAGCAGCCTGGGTGGCCGCTGCGGCCACACGCATCTCCAGCGCGGACAGCCTGCCCGAGCAACGGCTTCGACACGAGCTGCAAGCGCCAAACCATGTGAAAAACGAACGAAACGCAGTATCTGTGCCCACTTAGGAGATGCCTCCAGCCCAGATCCATTTTGCGAGTCTTCACCAAAATTTCCAATTACAAATAAGAAAGAGATCTCCCCAATTCAGCCCCGTTGATTTCCCCAATTCCGGTTGAGCAAAGACTTGTTGCAGCCCCCCCGCCTGTCGAACAAGGGCTCCAGCTTTCGCTGTTTCCTGGGCAGCTCACAGCTCGCTCTCTGATTCCTTGCTTGGGTTGGTTGGGATCGGATCCCCAACAAAGAAGCACGCATACACGCGTTATCTGCACACATGTTCAGCAAATCTCGATGCTACGTGTGATTTGAATATGATACCTAGTTCAACAACAGTCCCTCACAAACTTCAATGCCAAAATTGTCAGAATCTGACACGTGCTGTTTCTTTTGTGCTTTTCAGTTGCTTGTTTCGTCTCGTGTGTCTGCTTATTCATTAGAAAATTAGTCGGTTGGTCTGCTAGTCTTTCTGCCTGCAAACCCGTTCTCTCTGTCTCGGTTGGTCCGTTCTCGCCTGGCTCGACATGCGCCCGGTCGGTATGATTAGCTTCTACATGCTTCTACAAACAACGAGAGGATGCGGCTGCAATGGCTTTGGCACTGTTGTGGTCACAGCTCAGAATATGACCCCTGCGGTAACTGGATATACTGACTCGTGCAATAGATCTGCAAAACCAAGACAGCGTCCACAGTCAGTCTTTGTCGCTGGTGGGCCCGGACCGTACAATTTGAAAAGCCCGAGCCATATGGCTGTGAGTCAAAAAACCGGGAATCCCAAAATGGATCCCTGGTAAATGGAAGCATGGACTAAAACCTGCGGTCCAATTCCTGGTGGTTTAATTTTGACCCACACCCATATTGAGAACTTTCTGAGAACCACATCAATCGCGGATGCGCTGCGTTTGGGATAAGGAGGCCAAGAGGCTGCTGCTGCTTCAGCCTTGCATCCAGCTGTCTCAGCTGCGTCTGGATCTGGCAAGAATGGACTCGGCTCCCTCTCAGACCCCACAGGTCCCTCATTCAGCACTTGAAAGCGCACAGCCAGGACTCTCCTTCTGATAAAAACCGGCAAACATGGCCTGACTCGCTAGGCGCCAAAATCATGCAATCGTCCCTGAAGGCAGCGTAAAGCCCTGTGAGAAATTTAGAACTCTGATTTATCCCGAAATGTCCGAAGAAATTGCTCGGAAGTTGCTTGCGTCTTCTCATTCCTTCCACCACTCCACAACCCAACCTTGACCAGGGTTGTCGTTGAGGCAATACTTCTTTAAACAAAGGGGTCGGTTCACTCCCGCCAACCCCACCAATGGGAATTGTTTTTCTGTCTCTCTATTTCTCTCTCTCTCTTTCTCTCTCTCTCTCTCTGTTTCTCTTTGTCGTCGCACCTCGGTCGACTTTGAGGTGCTGTTTGTCATCTTCGCACAACGCTCCCGGAGGGCGTCGATAGTGTCCTTCTATCGAACATGCACATGATCCAGTTGCCCGTTCCATTGCACTTTTGAACATTCATCCGCACATTTCGCAAGCTGAACCATTTTCACACAAAGGCAGACGTGAGTAAATAATGTTTCAAAACAGCTTACGACTACTTTGTCAGAGCTTCAAGTATTTGCGGACTACTGCCAGCAAGTCGTTCCCAGAAAACCTGTTTGATCATGTTGACTGACTCGGAAAGCATCAACGCTGTTCAGACCGGGGCAGGCTATAAGCCATGGAAGAGAGAATGCTGTGGGCGGACCATACTTCCAAGAGATATTAACGCATACTGCACACCCGCCTACAAACAATTGCCTCACAAGGAAGCCATTTGCGCAAGCATCGTCTTCGAGGGGGCATCCCATTCAATCTGAGTGGGGCGGCATCTAAAAATACAATATATAGTGCATGCCACTGAACGAGTTGCTCTGGGCTGTCCTTGTGGTGCTTGATGAGATCTGCATTGTGGTTGTGCGCCAGGATGGTCTGATGCAGCTCCTGTGACTCGGCGAATCGCCGCGGGTCAAGCCAGGCATGTCAACCACAAGCAAGTTGCAACTTGAGCAGGTCAACCAAGGCTCTAAATAGCTCAAAACAGCCCAAATGCATATTGCCAACATACTCTCTTGAGCTTCCTTAGTTCGCCCCTGGGATCGCACACTCGGCCTGTGCGCTGAAGCCCATGGCTTACTCCAGTGGAGAAAATAATTGTCCGGGGCCCACAAGCCCTATAGACAAATCAATTCCATTAACCAACTGACTTATTATTATTTCTGTTCTCTCTTTTTGTTGGGGGGGGCCGGGTGCCCGCTAAACTTCAGACATCTCCAGGCACTCTCAGGTGCCCCATGAACTTTCAACCCCCTTGCTTCGGACAGATTTGCAGCCCTCGTTGGCTTTTCCTCGCGAAGGCCATAATTTCACCATAGAATGCAACCTAGGTCCTCCAGTAGAGAGGCTAGAATAAGGGTGACCGTTTTCTTTTCTGTTTTGTCTATTTTACTAGGGGAACCCTCCCCCCAAAAAGGGTACAAGGGCACTGCTGGGGGACCTAGCAACTCTCAGGTGCCCCATGCCAGGTTGCAGCAGATCTCCCTACATGCATAAGTACTTCTACTGTTTTCTAATGTCCTACGCTGCCTTCAAACTCAGAGGAAGCATACGCCGGCGTGTTTAAATCTGAGACTCCGGATTCCCACCGCAACCAAGCATGGCAAAGGCTCTTCACTGCACTTGCAGCAGATCTTTCCACTCATCCCCGATGTTGGGCGGCAAGAAATCCGCGCGTCAGTGATCGGAGCAGGGCAGACTTCTTCCTGCAGGGTACAATCAAATGCAGCTGTTTTCCGGACTTGTTCTTCGTTCTCCCCCCCTCTCTCTCCCTCTTTCCTTCCCTCTCTATGATCATGTGACCTGGCAAAGCTTCACCGGTGATAGAATCGGGCTGCCGATGCAATCAGACAGTAATCTGCCCCGCCCCAAAAAAAAGAGAGCAGCTGGGACCCAACACATTTTGCGACCACCACGGTCCGTTGGTGAGGTAGTTCTGGCTCACATCGGCGAACTCTGGGTGCAGCTTCCTTCGATCAGCATCAGACTCTCCACATGAGCCGAACATGTTTTTCCCCGCCGAACACGTGCTGTGCTTCCAGCCAACTGAATAACTTTGTCTTAACAATCCAGCTGATTGTGCTGTCAGCCAACTAGAACAACTTTGCCTTAAAATTAATCTGGCTGACGGTAAGTTCAAGGCCATGCCATGCCTCGGTGGTGCTATCCACTTGGGCACAAACCCTAAGCAATCCACTTGCGACGGCGCCAGAGCCAAAGGCTGCTGCGGCCAAGTCTCAGAAAGGCCGCACTGGTTGTGTCCTGGGCGAGTGCTGGCGCGAGAGAGAGCCACGAAGAGCGAGAGAGAGATAGCGAGAGTGGGTTGTGGAGCAACACAAAAATCACATGACAGTGCCACATGGCATTTTTTTGTTTACTGGTTTTTGAGCTGAAACTGAAACACGTGATTTGTAGGAGTATAGTCTCTCAACTGGGGATCCTTTGGTGGACACGACTTGCATGGGGGATTGATGCAAGATCATATCCACAATGACTGGAGCCTCACTGACCGCCCCAACTTGCTGCTCACCTTGCTGTAGATTTAATGGTCAAAACCGTCCAAGGCAACAGCACTCGTTTCAAATCCTGAAGGAAGCAATCTTGAGATATTCTGTCAGAGTTCCATCCCTAAGGCAACAAACAAAGGCAACCAAGCCGTAACTTAGCTGCACCGATCCTTGGCGCCTCCGTGCCACCGGGCCCCGAGTGGACCCAATCCGGGGCGCGTTTCGGGGCGTGGGGCCGCGGCCCCCGCTGAAGCTTTTGGAGAAGAGGTGCCCCACCTCTGGCAGGCCATGGGTCAAATCCCAAAATCCGAATCGGTTAGCCCCCAGCGAACCTCCGATTCCATCCAACCACTAAAATAGGCGATAATATGGGTGATCCAACCACTAAAATAGGCTCTAAAATGGGTGGCGAATTCACCTACCAACCAAAATGGGATCCCAAAACGGTTTTGACAACCACAGCCAGATGATTTCGGGCCGGGAAGCCCTTCTGGACGCTGCCCTCTAGAGACATTCAACGGCCATCCCCGAATAGCCCGAAGCAGCTTCGTGGAGATGTAGGCAGCGCGGTGTGATGGTGTGTAGAGGTTTCTGGTACAGGCAACAACCCTTCAAGTAGTCATGAGTGGGCGTTGCCGTTTGCTTCGAGACTCTGCCAGTCATTGTCTAAGCATTTCAGGCCAAAGCCTCGCAAAAATCGAGCCACCGCCTTAATCATTGAATCTTTGAGTCGACCTGTGCGAGCTGATGGATTTTAGGATATGTTGTCATTGCAAGAATTATCTTAGAATCCAACCCCAGCCAGGTTTACGCCTTCAACAAACTGGTTTCGAGCAGCTAAAAGGGTTTTGATGTCTGAGTCGATCAAAGGGTTAAGGGTTCCGCACATCCAATGATGACAAAGGGACCTGCCAGCGCTTTGCGCCCAACTACTTGATGGGGCTGAGTTGGGGCGGCGGTGTTTGACCAGGCCACTTGCGCTTGTCTTCATGCTGTCAACATCTGTCAATACATGCAATTAGCACGGATTTGAGCAGCACTTGGTTCTGTCGTGCTCTGGTAGCGAAGGTGACATTGTAAATGAGTCAACCCACCGTGATGCTTGCCAAAGCACATGCTGCTTTGGGAACGCAAGAAGCCTGCTGCCGAGTAACAACCGTTGACTCGTCGAACAAGTTTGCCTGAGCCGACATGCTGGGCTGCCGAGGCAAGCAGCACTCACCAATCGGAAGAATTTCTGCCCACACACATCCTATGTTGGCATGGTTGCCACAGCCACTGCAGTCTCTGATAGCTTCGGGATAGGCATGTTGTTTGATTTGCAGGCTGCCAGCGCCACTAGTCCCGTGAGAGGCATTTCTTGAACCTATCGCTTTTGGCGCCCAAGGTGTTCGCACGTATCGCTTCTCGTGCAGCAGAGCGGCGCAGGTGTGCTTCTCCTGAGCAAGGCCAATCGTACAGCCCGGAAATTCAGCAGCCAACATTTGCGTGGACACTGGCAAATCGCGCTCCAAGCAAACTGAGGCATCAATGACACAAACTTTATCACACTAGCAAGCTTGAACCTCGGTTGAGTTTCTTTTCAGGCTAGCCGCGGCTTTTCACTAGCCCCAGCTCAGCATAAGGCTGCCTTTCATGTGCCTCTAAAAAGGTTCTCTTTGCTTCACTCTTGGGTTGGGGGCAACAGGCGGTATTCTCCCAGAAAAGGCTGCGGGTCGGATTGGTTGGCCGCATCCCCAGCATCACCGGCCTTGCTCGGACCTGCCTATTGGCGGAGTTTTGGGTTTGCTGAGATCTTAGTGAGGGCGGGGGTCTTAGGTGGGTTTCAGGTTGGGGTTCTTTTGGGCTTGGCCGGGGCCAGGAAACGCCTCTCCAAGAGAACGTCCTTTCACCAATGAAACTGCCTCATGGCAAGGCACCCATGAGTACTCACTCTAATAGCCAATCGCAAGAACTACTCTACGGTAGGGCATGCGGAGTTGCGCACAAGGCACGGTGAAACCATTCACAAGGGCACGGCTGCCTTGCTGCATCCGAAGGGCCCAGCCGTGCAGCGCATTGAAGAAGTGGTACAAACGCCTGCCCGTTTTGACGCTCAATGGTCCCTGACTTCTTTCGCAGCTTTGGGGGGGTACTCTCTGGAGCAGACAGCCAACCCTCCGACTGATGGCGCTGCATCATGCATCTGTTTTTGTCAGCGAGCTGGGAAGATGCACTACTTCCAACAGCATACCACTTTCTTGCTGCACTTGCGACATTTCTTCCACAATCTTCCACATCAAGAAGCAGCGACGCCATTGGACATGTCCACGCGCAACCCCCCCCCCCAAAGGGCACACCTCTATGAGCGCAAGACAAGTCTCCTGACTCGCATAGACCCCTCTGTTGTTTCAACCCTGTAATTCGAAAGACTCACTCACATATGGCCATGGGTCGAACGCCCGTACCCCCAGTGAACATCCCAATCCCCACTAAAATAGACTACCTACCCCAAGATGGTACCGTTGGTTTTGACCCACAGCCATATCCCATGTTCCGGACAACTGCATCTTTTAGACGCCGGATTAGCGCGAAGTCACCCTCAAGAAACGTCGCCCGAAAAAAATGGAATCCTATCAAGGACGCGTTTCAGGCAAGCAACACCCAAGAGCGGTAATCCCAGGAACACATAATAAGCGGTGATTGAAAACTGTGTGCCACGGCGTTGTTTTATTTGTCTGCCCTCGCTCGCCGTGCGCGGGCGCCGCAGCAAGTCAGAGTATTTGTCTGCCCTCGCGAACCCTTGCGGATTCCTTTCGTGCCCTTTTGTGTTTGTTGCGCGGAGCACATTGCGCCAAGTAACCCTTTCCCGAGCTTTGCGGATGCTTTCCTTAAATCTAGACTTGAGTACAATGAAGTATAATTTTTGAAGCGCATTTTAGACTAGACCGTTACACTGCAAAGCTAGCTTGGGCAGCTTCGCACGCCCGGCTTCAAACTAGTCAATTGTCAAGTCTGTTGGCTCCAGAAGGCTGCGCTGTGTTTCCAAGGCTGAAAGCTTTTGGGGCTGCCCAAATAAGCTCTGGGGTGATTCGGAGGTCCGGAGGGATACCACCTCGGCTTTTTCCCACTTCAACACAGGTTGCAACCCAGCCCTTGAAAGCAACACAATCATCACACTTTAGCATCCAGAACGACAAGTCCCACTGGCTCAAGATGTTGTTGTTGAACGCCACTCGCATGTGGACACCACGTTGAGGAGAAACATCTTGTGATCGTGGTTTGTAGGCCAAAGACATGGGAATGAGCATGACACCCGATCAGGACACCTGCACATGTGCAGGGACGACTTGTTGACAAGCGCCTCGCGTGGCAAAATAAACAACTACCCACTTATGATACCACCCTTCTGTGAATAGCTTCCCCTGACTTGCAAAACACAAACACATTCTGATATCATTCGACCCTCATTGCAAAGTCGCAGTGTCCTTTTGGACAAGAAATAGATGGACCAGTACCTCAATGCTCGGAAACTTTCTGAAACGAGCGCTAAGTGGTTCAACAAAACTGACCTAAAGACTTCGCCAGACTTTGATCCCGAGCAAAACAACTTGTGGGTCAGAAGGAAACCTTTACAACGGGGCAGGGCTGCAAAGTCATTTGTCATTTGTCTATTCCCCAACAGCTGAAAGATTTGGGGTCTCAGGGGTGGTCCGGGGCGGCCCTGAGGTAAGGTTCCACGAGGGTTCCACCAAAGTTCCACGAGGGCTGAGCTTATTCTATTTTTTTCCGCAAGCCTTCAAAAAGGGCAGGGCTCAAAACGGCTAGTTCAGTGCATTGCAGAGTAGTTGCACCTTAAGCATCATTGGTATTGGCGGCAAAGGGACCTCCATTGCCCAGGAGCCCAAGACCCCAAATATGACAGCCTTAAATTTCCAAAGGCCTCAAATCTTGAGGTTTAAGGGGGCTCCTAGCCGATTGGAAACGCTGTTTTGGGACGTCAAGGAACTTTTCTTGCCGGTGCTCAGCCAAAAATGGGAGAAAAACTACCCCTAGAAACAATCCGGTCCCTTCTTCAGGCATTTTGCAGGTTTGTAAACCATCCATCCCATTTGGTTTCCTTTTTTTGGGACTCTGCAGGTTTATATCCATTGGGTTTCCCTTCGGGAATCCAAACGGTTCCTTCCACCCGGACTCACCGAGTTCCCGCGCCTGCCCAAGGGCTGCGCCACGTGGGAGGCGAGGAACTCTGCCTCTGCATCCTGCCGGGAAATCTGGGCCTCGTCAACGAGCATGATGATGATTTCACTTGCTGATGAATCAAAGCTAAAGAATTGTGAAATACCTGAACTTATTGTATGGCAATTTGGATATTTACTCAACAAAAGGACACACCCTTTTTGGCCACACTCAATATGCACATGGGAATGTGGTGTTGCTCCCTCTCTCTGTTCCTCTCTCCCGGAACTTTGTTTTGACAAATACTGAAACCACGGTGGTTGCATTGGGGAACCCATTCACCACCGATGTGCTAATCAATTTTCGGGGTAGGATTGGAGTCCAGCTGCCTGCAACCTCTACAGTCAGTGGGGTTGCCGCGAGCGTCACCGCACACATATGTTCCAATGCATCACAAGCTTCTCCCTCTCTCTGTCCCTCTCTCTAAGCTGCAGTGTTGAAGCCATCGAACCATTGAACGGGATGGTCGAATCAACAAATATAGCAAGGATCATACAGGTCTTCGTGTTGGTTCGCAGTAGGGTTGAGGCCTTAGCCACTTCCTGCCCAAGTGCAGCAAGAAAAATGGGCAGTCAACCAGCATCACAGAAACTCAGCCAGCAACTCAAGATGGTGCAACTTGCAAAACGTGTCTAACATGTTGCGCGCTGCCCTGGGCCTTTGTGCTTGGCGGGATGTTGGATGTTGAGATACTGACTTCCAGTGTCGCATGCGTACTCTGCTACTCCCAAGGAAGCCGCAGAGACGTTCCGGAAGGAACAACCCCGCAAAGTGTTCGAAAGTGACAGCAACGAGAATGGGTGACGCGCGCACACCTCGGAGGGTTCACTCCCATGACGCCATCTGGCAAAGACTCTGAAGCTCCAGGAAGAGCGCGCGCCCGTAGCGCTTGGAAGCGCATCCAATGAGAAAAAACGGATTTGTCGTCCTGCAACTTCTGCCGGTGCTCCAGGACAAACTCGAAGCGGTCGGGGTTGAAGGACTCCTCGCCGCTGAAGCCTCGAGTTCTGAGCCCCAGTGCCCGAAAGAAGCGGGGGGGCGGGAAAACGAGCTTGGACAAGCTGGATGTGAAATATGGGTATGGGTCAAAACTAAACCACCAGGAATTGGACCGTAGGTTTTGGTCCTTGAGTCCATTTGCCAGGGCTCCATTTTGGGCACCCATTTTTGAACCACAACCATATCTCAAGAAATACTTGAGAGTAATCCCCACCGTGCTTCATAGCGGGACAAGCATGCTTCCACGAAACATATCTGACACATGTGCCATCCAAAGTCCCGCAAGAGATCAACCAATTCAATCATTTCCATGACAAGATGGACTGGCACTCAAGCGTTGGCTGATGTTGGCTGTCTTTGAGCATTTATTCGTGAGACACCCTTGCCTGCAATCCGGTGACATCTGCCGCTCTTTGCTGGACCGTCTCTCAAGCACGGTCAGTGTAGAAGGATGGAGCACCGGATGCAACACCAATCAGCAGCACTATGAGGGCCTCAACAACTAGAATGGGGTTGTGGGGCCCGGTCAAGCTAAATTACATCAAACATATATTAAACTACATCATTTTTGTCATCATATTAGGCCCTTACATTAAGCGCAACTTCAAATGTCACCCTTGCCACCAAAGCGAAGCTCGCAACTTGCCGTGATCCGAGGGGCAGAATGCTGAGTGCGGCTTCGCCGCTGCAAAGACCCGGTGGGAGATCCACTCCCCAAGTCCTCTTCAGCGGCGCATGGGGAGTATGTCCGAAGGCGTGCAGCTCTGGCCCTAGTTCTCGTGGGAGTCAAAAGGCCAAGTGAATGTAGTTGCCCCTTCATGGTTGGATGCAAAATGAGTCGCAATCAAAACCTGGTACTAAAATGGTCTACCCAGAACCATGTACAGGATTAAGAAGGCGGCTGCAGCTATTTGTGGTTGGGATCGTCCCTTACTAACCTTCATCTACCCGGGGTTTTGATTGTGGCTCAAATGATGTTTATGACAAGGTTCCCAATGACAAGGAGGAGTGCAGGGCGAAAAAAATGTCCCTTTTCAGACGCATCAATGAGACTCAATTTGGTTGCCACAGGAAACAATGATGGAGGAATCTTCAAAGAAAACTGACATCACACAGCATGCGGTGCTACCGACTGTGGCCATATGGGGACTGGTTCTTGGTTTGCAGGAGTGTCACGCTGCCAAGCCGTGCTTTCTATGCCGAGGGCTCATAGCCATTCACCTGTTGTCAAGGAAGAAAAGGAGTTGCCAGTCTCAAGGGATTTGTTCGGGAGCTGCCCCATGTGGGGGACTGACCATCCACAATGAGGAACGGCTGTGCTCGGCAACATCTTGGGCCATTGATGTAATGCACATGACACCCATGCGTTGCCAACAACATGTTGTGTCCTCCCCAAGGAATGTGGCACTGCTCCTTCTTGTCCTCGAAACCTGGGGCTTGCACAACGCAGCAATCACAAGTCAGAGTCTAGCTGACACTGAATAGTCTAGCACAGGGTGCCAACAAACGAATTAAAGCTTCTGTCACCCCACTCCCTGCTGGACAGCTGCTTCTTCTAAACAAAAGTTAAGGTGTAGGCAAACACTAAAACTGCTGATTTTGAAAACCTGCAAATCACCCCCTATCTTGACTTGGCCGAGAGTTCTGGGAGTTGCTCCGTTGCTAAAAGTCTTTGCTGAGAACTTGCTGCTGAAGCGCAGCAAACCTTCTCCACCTTCTTCTCAGAGATGTCACAGTGCTTGGCAACCTGAGCCGGGGAATTTTTGATCAACATGCACGGGGGCGAATCAAGGCTTGGCATTACAAGCCCTTAATCTTCATGAGGCTGCTTCAGGTAGCTTCAAGGATTACTCATGAAGCCGCAATGCGGATATCCACTTCGGCTGGATCGCTGCCACAAAGAAACGGCGGTTCTGCCGCCTTCGATGTCGTGGTTCCTTTTCGCTCAAAGGCGGTGAAAGTCTTCCGTGGGAAACTACAAGCCGATGGCTTTTGGGGCCACCGTTGCTTTTGCACGAAGCCAAGCCGTTTACCGAGATCTCCTCGGTGAACTAGGGATGGACCCGTCCCCCACCAGCAAAAAGCAGCCCTAATCTAGTTGCTTTGCCGATTCTGCTTGGGCAAAAATGACAAATCCCGTTCAATACTGAACTGTTTTCCCGTCGGCCCATGGGGTGCTGGAGCGCTGACTCGCACAAGGGCTCTTGGCGTGCGTTTCTTCACAGGCAGTCAGCTTAGTTGAAGGCATCAAGTAGACGTCATCGCACAGGGTGTCACGGGCACTTGTGGAAGACATGTTTTGTGTTGCTTTCCTAAAACTGCGCGTTCGAAGCGGTCTTCATGATACTTTTTTCTGGCACTGCGCACCCAAGGCAACACACCATTAACAACATCAGCTATCCCACTACTTTTCGGTCGTGTCGGATATTAGGTGTATGTTTAAGCAGGAAACCTCAAAAACCGCGGTGTTCCCTTTGGGTTCCTTTTAAAGCCATCCCAACAACACGTACCCTGCTTCCAACTAACATGGAAGTGCCACAAAGCCTTTTCTCAAGAGCAAAGTAGTCTTTCCACAGGCGTCTCTTTGCACCCCCATGTTTCTCGGTGGGAGGGAATCTCTCTATGTATAATATATATATATATATACATAATATATGTATATTTGCAGCCATGGGACAGCTGCCTTCTGCGCTTCCCAAACAGACCGGTGGAAGCTGCTGCTTTTCTGGCCTGGCGCGACAGGGCCGGCCGAAACACATGCGCCTTAACATGGGTTTGGGGTCTCCAAAAATACAGACACTTATTCATATTCTCCGAAATACAAAAACGTATAAAAGGCCATCAACCACATGACTTGGACTTGTGTGTTCCCCTAAAATGATGTTTTTGTTGGTTTCCCTTTAAACCATGCAAAATAGGGTCCCCTGTCTTGGCTGCACTCTCGTATCATGCTCCTGGACTCGGCCAATGCCTCTTAGATGTCATGAATCAGGCACGTATTGAGCAGTATTAGCCACACGTCAAGCCCAAGAGCGAGGGATAACATCCCAAGGGAAGGGCAAGTCCAGAAATGACCCCCTCTTTCTCGGAGCAAGGAAACATGCTGCTACTTCAACAAAAGTGCAATGGAACGAGCCAATGCAACCAAGCACGCTTCAGAACCAATTTGGCATGGATTGAGAGGGTGTAGGCCGCAGTTTGGTTCAGACTTGGCTGGCAAGGGGTGGGCCACTCCGTACCTCTCTGTGGCGATTTCGCTTCGCGCCTCCCAAGAAGTTGGAGGAGAAACCTGGGACAAGACACATGACGCGGCACGCTTTGGCGACCAAATACGAGGCCCGGCCCACTCCCACAAATTCAACCTGGACACAGCGCCCTGGATATAGCTGTGAAGCATGTGACCTCTAGCCAACGGAGCAATAAACACTTGGGTTCCAAATAAATAAATATGATCGCCCTTGGCGGCCCTGCGGGCGGCGGCCCCTAGCAACCAACTCCTATCTGCCCCTTTGCGCATGACGCCATACATATGAGCAAAGTACAGCAGAGCCGGGGGGCGGAGGTTTTCAAAAAAACAACTATAGAGTTTCGACCGATTTCGACCGCGTGCAAGCGTGCATTCTTTCCTCGTGGTGCCCGAATGCTGTCTGAGGTTAGCAAGCTCGATAGTTCGACAGCCAGCTTGCGCGCCAGTTCGCGCCGGAAGTCACCAAGTTGGCGGGCTAGCAGCAAGCTGGTACTAGCCAGCTTGCTTTGCTACTTAAGTACACAGCTTAGTTATAATAATAGGAGAGCTAGCTGGGCTGGCCATCTTGGTCAGCTCGTGAGCTAGTTCGCTAGAAGCCTAGGCACTTAGGCAGCTACTAGATCGCCAAGCGAGTTTGCTTAGCAGCTACCAAGCAAATATGCTGGTGGTTTGTGAGTTGGCGAGTTGGCTAGTTAGCTGGTTACGGAGATTGTTGGTTCAAGAGTAAGCTAGTTAGCTACCCAGTTTTGTAGCTAGCTGCTAACCGCCTAGGTTGGCTATAGTGCTGCCAATGCCCTTCTGAAACGCCAACCAAGCTGTTACCGGTCAAGCCCCCGAAGTGCACAAAGTATTCTGCGCGCAAAGTGAGCGCTGCCAAAATAGATCTTGATAGACCACCCGAAAGTGCGTAGAGACTTTCGACCGCTCCGAGCCCCCGCTCGACCGCCCCGACCGCCTCAAGGGGCCGCGACCAAGGTGCGGACAAGCCGATGCGCAAAGGCGCGTTTTCTGCCCTCCTTCTGTTCCCGAGCTCTCGGCTGCAGCTTCTCTGCAGCTTTTCTTAGCCGCTTCACGCACAGCGCGTATAATTATTCCTCAAAGAATGCACAGCTCAGATATTTCCAGAATTACGGAAGTTCTTTCCTTTTCACATTTAAACGTTCTAGGCATTTCATGACTATCTTTGTCTGCACATCCAGGTTGCGTTCGAAAATACTTGCGCAGCTAAGTATTGGAACACACAAGTGGGTCTACATGTATGTATATATATATATATATGAGGTATACACATATTGGATGTGGCTAAATATCATATATCATATTTTATCTAAGTCCCCTTGGCGTTTGTCCTGAAATTGAGAGAGAGAGAGTCCACACGTTTCGCCGAATTTCGGGCCCCATTGCGGCTACAGCAGCCATCGCAGCTTCTGCCGTCTCGGCTGTCGCTGTAAGAAACCAAGTCGAACTCCTTCACCTTTTGCACCTGACAAAGGGTCTGGATTCTTATGGCTGAACTTTCAAATGGCTGTGGGTCAAAAATAGGGTAATCCCAAACTGGCACCCTGGTAGATGGACACATGGACTAAAACCTGCGGTCCCCTGGTTGCTTAATTTTGACCCATACCCAAATCAAAGGAAGCCAACACAGCGGATTGATCCTTTCTCAAAAGCCAGCATGGTCTTTCTTGCATCAGTCAAGGGGTGGTATGGCATCAATGAAGAACAAACCATGCTGTCCGTCAAAGACACGCCGTCGCAAAGGACTCAGCTAGGTTTGTCACTCTCCGCTCAAGCTGAGGCTAGCACAATCTCGTCGATGTCCTGCACTGTCAGCCTTAAGTGCATTGTGAGTCGACTACAATCGAAGCAAGCAAACCATCTTGCTTTCTTGCCAGCAAACTGCCATCGCTTCTGCTGACAGGCTGCAGTGCCAAAATGAAGAACATATCATCAGACTACTTCAATGTTTGTGTGGGTGTGTGTTTCGGCGTTCGGAGGACTCATTGTTGGCTGGATCAGGTCATTAACTGAAACAAAGGGGCAGGAAGTGACAATCACACCGGCTGCATCACGGCCTCCTTCTAATAAACTGGCTTTGAATAAACCTCATCCCAGTCGAGTGATCTTAACATGGCCAACTTGTCGATACCGCATGGCTCAAAACCCCAGTCAGTCTTCAACACAGTATTACTGTCGTCTCTTGCCTGCATGAGCGCTCGTTAGAAGCAACCTCGTGGCAGTAACCAGCCATGCAGCTAACCTAACGCCCGGTTAGCATTCGCACTCGTGTTGTTTCAATGATGCCCTGCGGAAATTTACACTGGTCATTGCTGCTTGCAAAAACGATTCTCTTGTCCATTTCACACATTCCCTTTGAGGACCACATTTGCAAAGTCAGGCCATTTACCCGGCTTTTGGCTGAGGAGCATGTCAAAATCCACATAGATGCCACCATGGTGGTACAATACCTTGGTCTTGGTTCATGCGCAGTCTTCAAAACCGTGGTCTGTTTCATGGGCGAGCCTTCTTGAATGCCAAATCGATGGCAAGCAAGGAAACACGCTCCACATGCAACTGTCCCATGGTAGCAATGATGCTGCTGGCAGTTTGCTGGCAACGTGTCTGTCATCATAACAGGGGTCATACAGTCGATACACAAACTCCTGCACCAGTTGGGACGGATAAGACCCTATGAACAATAGTATCAACTCCACAAGCTACCAATTGGTGAATAATTGTGTCCATCCACTGTAGATGTACGCACCTGTGGTGAACGTTGAAACTTGCCGACCTAAGCGCAGCACTGCATATCGAATAAAGTCAGATTTTGCGGCTGGGTATGGTAGTCGAAAATACTCCTGAAGCCGGCAAAAAATGTTGGCCAGCATGCAAGTGTGGGATCCTATTACCCTTGTCACGCAAAGAAGAGCAGCATGACGGCTGCCAAAGGGCAAGGGCTGTTTGTTTCTTGGCTTCTGTCACGACTCGGGGGGGTCAACCCGGAAAATGAACACTGCCTTTGTGGGGGGAAAAAGAACCAAACAACAACGTAGCTACAAGGGGAAAGAACAGACAACGACAAAATGAACACTGCCTTTGTCAGGAAGGAATCAAACAACGTAGCTACGACTACGCATGTGGCACAAAGAATTAGATACGTGAGCTTCGCTGGCCCGATTGAGTCAAGAATCAGAACCTGTCAAAATCAGAACCTGTCTACCCAGAACCAAGCAAAGGCGGCTGCACCCATTTCTGGTTGGGACTATCCCTAACCTTCATCTCCCCAAATCGGTTTTGATGGCCCCACACATTTTCTTGGCATGCCCGGGGTTGGCCGCCGCTTGGCCTTTTTCTTTGGGGCCGCTCCTCAGGCAGATCTGGAATTACCTGCCGGACGTTCTCGTCCGTGATCAGCACCGGCTCGTTGCAGAGCCCCGCGGAATGTCTGCGCCAGGCCTCCATGACCTGAGCACCGCTGCGGGTTTTTGGTCCCAAGCTGAGCAGAAAAGGCCTGTGGCTCCAATGATTGGTTCCAAGGTAATGATTACAACGGTTATGGTTGTGATTCTCTGCAAAGAAACCCTTCCAACGGTTGATGGTTGTGGTTATGGCTCCCTGATGGTTGTGGTTATGGCTCCCGATGGTTTTCGTGGTGGTTCCAAGGCACTGGTTATGGTTATGGAGCTCCCTGAAAAGAAAGCCTTCCAAGGGCTGCTCCTGAGGCTTGCTGAGCTTGCAGCTGGTTCCAAAAACACACACTGGACTCAAGTTGCGCACACTTGACTTTCTGGCGTACCTCCACTGTCCAAAGCACCTGCATGTGGCTAATCACAGTCCAAAGGCAGTGCTGAGGGCAATCAAACAACACCCCATGTCTATTATGAGCCTCCCAAACGACAATATTCGCAAGCAGCCTGGGCAGCAGCGGCAGCGAGCATGCTAACAATAACGACCAGGACCCACGATCACAAGAAACACTAAGAATAATGACAAATAACAAGTGGACAAACAGACAAGTGCGCCACCTGCAACAGCAACACAAATTAGCAACAATGACAAAGGACCAGGATGCGGACGACACAGACATGACCACCTGGATGGCAAAAAACACGAACGACATGTCCATCTGCCAACAGCCGAAGCCGCTAGTCGCTCAAAGAGGGGCTGCTTCTCCAAGGAAGGCCTTGGCTGTTGGCGACCCGATCAGGCGCTGGTGCGACTGCTAGGTTTTACTTTCCGAGTCTGGGTGTTGGGAATGAACCGAAGGGGATTCCCTGAAAGGAAACCACAAGGGATGGTTTATGGGGATCATTCCATTTCTCATTCCCTGCTGAGAACCAGCAAGCAAATGCAGCATGATTGATGAGTAGCTGGAGCTGAACATGGAAGCCAGCCCCAACTGCATCGATGCTCTGCACAAATGAACTTGCACCTATGTCCGAAGACTTGGGTAGAGGGAATGCTCGTCCCCTTTTCTCCCATGCCGATTTTGCAGGGGAGCCACCAAGCCGGCACAGGCTCTTGTGGACATTTGTCTGCTCAAGTGAGCAAGTCTCCTCAACCACACAAACACACATAGCCAAACAAACAGATGCACCTGATCTTCCAGCCGAGGCAGCTCATCATAAGATGGCTTCATGTGGCCTACTCTTTTCACTACTGTTCAAGTGCCAAAAGAGCGCGGTTCCCACCACCTTGCTGGCTGGAGCAACTGGCAGCGCGACTGGAAACCCAGGATGTCCAATAGCAATAAGCCTGTGAGGACACTCTGCAAAATAGAAATACCCAGAAGCAGTGGTCCATCGGGCAGCTACGACTGAATCAAGCTCCAATACAGCTGAAGCATTGCTCTTCACAAGGGGAAGACTGTTGTTTTGCTGAAAATATTGAAATCAGCCTGGTTTCAATGACGTGATGCTCTTCACTTCAAAATTCTGGGCGCCCAAACCTACCCGTCAAAGCCAGCATGTGATCGATCTGCGATACATGAGGTCCATTTGCGTAAGGCAGAACCGGCACTACAACTTGCCTGCCAGGACAACTTACATCCAAATTCAAAACACCTTCAAAAACAGGGTGGATAGTTGCTTCGCATCGCGGGGTGGGAAGTTGGCCACACACCAAGCGCAAGCCATGGCACGGTTTCTCCCAAAGGCTGAAGATGTTGCACTTGGCCGGATCCAGCTGGGTGACATCATGTAGCAATTCCTCGACTGTAAGCTGTACATGTCATGCCTGTGTCATTGCCAAGTGAGCCATGCAACGCAATTCAGGCAAAGAAACCTGTTTACAGCTCAGCTTTGCCAACAAGACAAAGCCTCACACGCCCCGAACTTGCCAACCTAAAGCTTTTGGTTGCTGGCTCGCCTCTCACTCAGTTGCTCGATTAAATCAAGCGGCTGCTGTGCCTCCAGAATGCAGCTCAACTTGCACCATCTTCGCACTGTGCTTGCCATGAGCATGACCATGAGCATGGTGCTGAGGCTTATGATGCTCACGATGAGATCCTGCAAACGAAATGCGTCGAAGGGCGAATGCATGGAAGTTGAAGCGTGCAGGGTTGCAAAACAAGAAAACGCGTTCAGCAAAACTCCTTGCCAACCTGTCAATCTAAAACTTACATAGAGTCCTAGCGTACCGTGTGAGTCTCATGTGAGTCATTTCAGGACCGCACTGATCCACCTACAAACAAGCTCGATATTCGGGGTCCCTTGCCGTGCTTTCTGGGACTCAAGATGCGAGAAAACCATGTGCAGTTGGTCGACCTCTGGCTCTATCTCCATCCAAGCCACTGACAATGCGCTTCCCGTCCTCGGCACATTGCACAAAACAAACCAACCCCACTGCCCTCGATTGGATTCGTACTGTGCCATTTGGCTGTGGGTCAAACCAATGGTACCATTTTGGGGTAGGTGCACCACCCACTTTAGTCTATTTGAGTGGGGATTGGGATTTTCACTGGGGGTACGATTTGGATTTTGACCCATGGCCATTTGTTCATGAAAGAGCAGGGGTCTAAACCCAGGGGTTGTTGCTTTCCCCAAAAGGGAATTTGGGACGTCTACCTGTCAAACAATTGAATCCTGAAAGCACTCCACCGAGTCCACTCGGTCCATCCACCCTCCTGTCCACCAATATCTCAGTAAGATCGACTACAACTTACAAACAAACTATGTACTGTGGGCCACATGTGTTGAGAACACAGTCAGGGAAATCTTTGAGGTTCAACCCATGCAGTCCGCCCGGCCCAGTCCGCAAGCCGGCTCATCAATTTGCTGAAAAAAATTCCGCTTGCCCATCTGCAGCCCAGAGTCATGGGAACTCTGCGCCCCTGGAGCCAAGAGAGACTGGAGTGGATTGGGGGGGGTTCTGGGCCTGGCTTCCTGAAGCTTGCCGATAGCTTTGCCAAGGCGCTTCCCCAAGCACTCCCTGCCCTAGCCTAAGGAATGTCCAGTTCTCCAAGCTTGCCAGCGCACTTGCCACTCTGACTGGGCCAAAGCTATTGAACCCGATTTTACGTCGCTCATCCCGAAAGGGGAGCATTGGGAAACTTAAGGATTAGTTGTGGGCCAACAGTTCTTGTCGAGGGGTTGCCAGCTTTTGCGCCTTTTCGGGAAACGGACACAGGAAACCGAAACGCCGTCCCTCATGCGCACCATCTTAGCAAGCTCATACTAAGTGGCGCACGCGAGCAAACAAGCACACAAGCACACAAGCACACATACACACTTTTAGGCCCCAGCATGAGGCCAACCAAGTATACATAGAACACAATATATGTATTTATACACACGCAACCCCTTGTGGATCTACCTTGTGCTGATGTGATTGATTTAAATCCTTGTCGAATTGTTTATGAAATCCAAGCAACACCGACAAGCAGAAAGAAATATGATAAGCTATTTCAACAAAAGCTGTTTTGTCCAATGCAACTCACAACAAACATGTGTCTTTCTTAAACCTATTTCAAAACTGACGCTTGGTCAGTAGATGCAACAAAAACAGCTATATTGGAGCCAATAGTGAAAGCTAGACAAGTAGAGTTCTGGAGCAAATGGCCCGAACGTTTAAACAAAAAAAAAAGGAAGAAAAACAAAGAGTAAACAAGTACACTATTTCAACCCGTGGTCCTGAAGTACTTTTTCTGACCATGGACTGATGTACTTATCTTTTTACTTTCTTGATTTTTTACTTTTGGGTCATTGGCTCCAGGACTTTGCTTTTTTACCGTTTACTTTGGCTCTACATGTTTTTATTGTTTACTCCTTTTTTGGGGCTCCCTGGTTTCACTTGTTCTATGTTGTTACGATTGTACTTTTGGCTCCAATATAGCTGTGTGACCAAACCTCAGCTTAGAAATGGGACAGGACAACGGTAGATCCGTTCATTCGGGCTTGGATGCAAGATTGCCTGGAAAAGTTTGGAGCCTTCAGCTTCCATTTGCTCTGTGTTTTCCGCGCTTTTTGCCTTTCCCAAAGCCCCAACAAAGACATACCGCACTGCAAACATCGGCGAATTCTGAAAAATGCAGATCCATGGGGGTACCATATGTATATATTATATATATATACACACGTCCAACCGCTCATGCAGCATTGTTATTCACATGCACTGTTCAACAGGAACGCAATTGAAGGAAAAGAGAGTGCTCCTTGCAGCTGCTTGTCACGGGCAAGCCGGGTAACAGATTGCTGACACAAAGGGCGCAAATCCTACTAACGCCAAGGCAACAGCCGCAGCCATGGCACCAAAACCGGATAGAAATAACACAGCAGGGCAACGGCAGGCGGCATCCACCAAGCAACGCAGCCTGCCCGTCCCCGCCTGCCAGAACCAGGAATGCCTCAAGCGGGCGTAGGATTCAAGGGCTGGGAGCCAATTGTCGGCGCAAGCTGAACTTCTTCCGGGAGCACATCAGATTGCAACCAGGTTGTCGTGGAGTTGCTCGAATACCCAAGCGCCCGCCATACCAATTTATAGATTTCGGCAGCAAACCTGCTCAAAAACGATGGGAATCCGCTACCTTACACGTTGCGTTCACTCTTTGCCGATGTCAAGCAAGTCTAGGAGATAGACTCGATCGAGCCCCTGCATGTAAAAGGATATCAACATGAAACAGCCAACTTGACCGGGATCCCCATTCCCATGTCTGGATGCTGGTAGCTTCGCACCAACCAACAGAGTTGACTAATTGCCGACGCTTACCCCTTGACTTGCCATCCCAGTGCCGATAAGTCTAAAATGCTATGTTAAAGAGCTTGTGCATTTCAACCTCTCATCTTGCACAAACATCACCTGCCTGGAAGCTTTTTGTTTGGTTTGCCTAATTGTAAATGCAGCTCGGATCCTGACGAGAAGAGTCTTGACACCGTGGCCGTCACTTCTGCCAAGGCTGGTACAATGTCCCTGAATTTGGTACCAGAACGACCCATTTGGTCAAAGCGCCCAAAGTGTTCCGAGGAATAGTCGGCCCATGACGGCCCGCAGGTGGCTGCCAGCTGATTCAATCCTCGAAGGCTACCCCTCTGTCATGCTCGTGTTGACATGCATCATCTTTTGCTGAAGTTGTTGCCTTTGCCGTAGTAAGAAGTGGACATCATTGCGCCGGCTTTTCGGGTGGGATAAAACTCTCATATCCTAGGTGGATCGAGGCCTTGCTGGGGCAAGAAAACTCCAAGACTGGAGTGTGAGACCTGAAATTCAACTGAAACAGCGGGGTGCGGGCGATTGACGACATGGCACGCCAAACCTGTGCCGTCTAGTGGGCTTGCCAGAAGGGCATCAATTTGCAAGCTGCTCATCCCATTGAAGATCCACATAGCGACTGAGCAGGATGCGACATTGAGCAACACTCTCACTCACATATACACGTCTTGAGTTAATTCCTATCAAGGCTTCTTGCAACTCTTCCTCAAGAAACACTAAATGCGTCATTAGCAGCGGAGCACAACACGCGTACACACACACATTGACAGCCGCAGCAGCCAGTGACAAATGTTGCCCGAGTCCTGCTTCAGGGTCCTGGGCAGTCCGCAAACAAAAGGCCCTGAGTGAAAAGGAATGCTTCTACCTCCCTCCCTCCCTCCCTCCCTCCCTCCCTCCCTCCCTCCCTCCCTCCCTCCCTCTCTCTCTCTCTCTCTCTCTCTCTCTCTCTCTCTCTCTCTCTCTCTCTCTCTCTCTCTCTCTCTCTCTCTCTGTCGCTCTCCCTCTCTTTTCTGTCTGTCTAGACGTCCTTTTGTCAGAGTCTCAAGTTTGGCTTCCACAAAGCACCAAGGTGGCCCCTGGAAACCTCCGTCCGGTCGCCTGATTTCCTGGCCCCATTGCTGCTCGGTCTTCGAGAGGAGCTGTGCAACAGCCTCCGCATCCCATCCAAAACCCCACAAAACGGAGCGGTGCAAACCGTCGGACATGGCCGTTGATCATCATTCCCTTAAAAGGCCCCAGTTTCAACCATGGGTTGAACTCTTCCCGTTTGGTGGTTGCAAAGTCGAACATCTTGTTTGGTGGTTTCTCTGATGGTCATCCCACCTAAACGACCCCGAATGCAACCTTGATTTCCCATATCGTCACACAAATCACCCTTGTAAAATGAGAATGCCACCGTTGGAGGTCCCAAAAGCGGAACTGTTTAGGGATCCCCCTGAAAGTTCTTGGAGTCACATTTGTGAGCATGTTTTCCACGTGTTCCAGCAAATGGACCACACCCTCCAGAGGCAAGCGCTCGGCACAGAGAGGTCCAATGAGAAAGCTCGGAGATCTATCTGACTGGATCCTAAGCGAGGTATCTTAAATAAACTCAGAGACGTCTGGAAAAGGAAAAACACGCACAGTGGGTATCTTTTTTATATCAAAAACGTTTGGAGAAGGAAAGCACGCACAGTAATCTTTATCCAGCCGCTTGAGACCTCCAAACACGCAAGGCCAGTGCCTGCCATCCATGACACGTGCCTCCGCAGTGAGTGTGTCAGTCTGCTCCGCCGGTTGCATACCTCGCGGAAATCTCGGTCTCAGGCCCAGCAGCTTTGGGATCTCAACCATGGCAGGTGTCTGCGCCAGTCACTGAAACATGTGCAAGTCAGTTCATTTCATTTGGTAAAAGCAGATGTTCGCAGAAACGCTTTCACATCCTGTCTGACTGTATGCAAAAAGTTTCAGGCGGCTACTCACTTCAGGCCGCGAGCAATGTTTTCAGCAACTAGCTTTGGCAACCAGCTCTGTGCTCGTCGACTGAGGCTCGGGCCGCTTAATTGAGCCAATAGCTGGTCGAGTCTTTCGTCCATGGCAATCATTGTCTGACCTCAAAGGAAACACGAGCCAGCGCCGAGCCCCAATGACCCGACCGCTTCTCCAAGAGTTCCGAAAACTGGAAACAGGCACTGGCAAAACCGGAAACCATCTAAGTCACAACGGCATCGAGATGTGTGTATCTTATCAGCTTCTGCCATTCCCCGATACAGGCCATTTCAATTGGAAGTTCCCTTGCCGTAGGCAACTTAGTGGCAAAGGCGCGCCGTCATAACTATGACGGGCGCTGCCGCGCAGGCTAAGGCGCAAAGAAACAAGCTGAAGCAAACAAATGGAAAGAAGGGCATTGCCAAACCCTCTGATAGAGTACACAAGAAAAAATGAGGCTGTTCCGCTCGTTGGCTTCAGACAAGGCAAACATTGTATGCGCATAGCGGCGAGTATCATACCCTTGGCTCTGTCAGCGAAGCAAATGGAAAGTCGGTTTCAGACTTCGCTTCTCAGATTTGTTTGCCGTTGCAGCACAATGAAATCCATCAACTACATTGGCTGAAATAGAATTCAACTGATTTAGCGCGCGCACGTGTTGGGAGCCCCAGCTACATGGGGATGCTGAAACCGCATCGCTAAATGGAAAATGCAGCTCTGGAGCACTCGGTCGGAAACCGAAGTCTCTCGAGTTAGGGTCGCGGCGAATTTGCTTCAGCTCCGTCTTGACCTGCGCAGCTTTCATTCATGGGGGTTGATCAAAAGGTCCCTTACATGGGATGACCATTGGGGAAAACCACTAAAAAAGGGTGGTGTTTCCCACTAAATGGCAGTGGGTCAAAACCAATGGGATCCCATTTTGGGGTAGGTGCACCCATTTTGGAACCTATTTTAGTGGGGATTGAATCGGATGTTCCCTGAAAGATGACCGGGCTTTTGACCCATGGCCAAATGGAAAACGTGACCCATGGTCAAAACTTGGGGCCTTTTTTTGGAATCGCGCGTCTAGGGCCACCTCCCCGGCTCCGTGAAGCTCTTTTCATCTCCACGGCTCGCGGCTCGCCGCATTTTGCAGCCCGTAAGAACTGGCATTGACGTTCGATGTGTCATTTCCCTGGCTCTCATTTCAAGCAAAAGCAGCGACTGACAGGCATTCAACAACAAAGAATCCCTCGCCGAAAAAAGAATGGTTTTGGAAAAGCTGGGGCGGAAAACCAGGATGGCCATCTCTTGCAAAGAATCATCGAATCTACCTCAGGCACTTGCATCAGACTTGCACACCAGGGATGCAGCCGGGAACATTCGGATGCCGGTCACAGCAAAACCACCAGGCCGTGATGCCAAGGATCTCTCTTCTTTCGACTCCGGCTTGCGCGTCAAAGATGCAGCTTCCCGCCTTTGCCAACGAGCCCTTCCTGAATGACTCTCCCGGGTGCAAGCTGGCTCAACCAAGTATCTGCCAGAATCCGTCGAGGCCTTGTAATGTCTCGAGTCCGGCATCCGGCATTTAGATCTAGTGCTCCAACCAGTGCAATGCATCCAGGTGCTTCAGCTTGGATGCGAGGCGCGCAGCAGTGCATCCGCTGGCATTCCGCAGGTCTTTCTTGGCGCCAGCGAAGAGCAGGAATCGCAGCACTGAGATCTGGTCGTGCTCCACTGCGAAGATCAACGCCGTGTTACCGTTTTCCGCCTGCTGGTCCAAATCCGCCTTAAAGATGCTCAGACACTCAACCGCTTTGCAATGCCCGAGATGAGCTGCGAGCATCAAGGCCGTCATGCCCTCGTTGTTTTTGAAGTCCAGACTGGCTCTGGCTCGCAGCAAAACGTTGACACATTCAGTGTTGCCCTTGGATGATGCGAGGTGGAGCGGGGTCCATCCATCATCATCCCTCCTGGCATTGGCACTGATACAACTTGTATTTTACCGTTGTCATGTCATGTAGTAGGAGCAAATGAATAATCAATCTTCAAACGTCAATGCGGTAATTATCGGTCATTCATTGACACTGCCCTGCAAGAACATCTAAACTTACTTGCTGGGAGAGCACGGACATGTTTCAAACGTCAATGCGGCAGATTCGCCTCGGCCCCAAGGGGGCCAAGGGCGCTCAGATCTCTTTTTCCAAAGAGAATCTTCGCTTGTTTCCCCAACCCCACCCAAATTTCGTGCCCCCCCCTCACCCATGTTGTCACACCCAAGCAGGTCAAGCCAAGCCAACCCACCCACGCCTGGCTGGCTTGAAGCCCAACCACCCATCCCCAGCCCCCTGTGTGGGGCTAGCCTCCGGCCCAGCCCAACCAGCAGCCGGCTCAATTGGCTAAGACAAGCTTCAGGCCCAACCCGCTTCATATCTGGCGTATCTGAGGCCTGTCTGGCGTGTCTGAGACTAGCCTGAGCAACACCCAAGCTAGGCCCAGCCAAACCCCCACGCCAACAGACTGCCGCGCGCGTGGGACCTGCACGAGCAGCCGATGCCCAACTCCGACCAACGCACGCTTGACGAAACCCCACGCCGATACAGTCGATCAAGACTGCCGCGCGCGTTGACCCACCACAGCTCTGCTTTGTTTGTCGAGACGTTCTGCGCAACTTCCGCCCATGACATCCACTGCCCCAGCACGCAGCGCCACTGACTTTTGGCTCCATAACTCACTCCTGGTCTTATGCATCGCCTTGCCCTTGCCTCGCTGCGCAACTTCGGCACATGACATCAAGTGGTCCAACGACGCCAGAACCTGTCTATTCCTGAATCGCCACTTGACCAGCTCTACTGCTTGCAGTCGAACCACAAACGCAGTGCGCTTGGCCGGGCCAAGGCGGGCAACGCGCAGCGTTTACAATCATTGACACTGCCCTGCAAGAACATCTTAACTTACTTGCTGGGAGAGTACGGACATGTTTGCCAACACAGGATTCTTCTCATTCCCTACGCGCATTCAAAGCACACGTCATCATGACCGCCGCTGTAGCTCGCACGGCATCCTATCTCAGCTTCTCTCTAATTGGTGGTTTGTGATTGGTTGTTTGGAGGTGTTCCGGGGAAACCACCAATTAAGGGTAACCTGACTATCGACTGTCATGCTCTTCCCTCCTGTCTGGATCCGCCCGGCCGTCCAGAAGCAAGCGCACAGCTCTCACCCGCTGAGAACTCACTGCGTGGAAGAGAGGTGTCCAAATGGTCCTGTCGCCAAGAAACCACTGAGCATGTGCAAAATGCAACAACTAAGGGCAAAACAAAAAGGAAGCAATATGAGTGTGGCTCAGAACTAAAGGCTAAAGTGACTAAAGAGGCAAACCGCAGGTTTTGGTCTTTGGTTCCATTTTCCAAGGTGCCATTTTGGTACATTTGTTTGAGCCGCAGCCATAGGGAACTATACATTCCAAAACCAACTTTCATGCTCAACAGAACTGGCAAGGACGTGAACGTGCACTCCACATTTCACCCCCCTTTGGGGCTGCTTCCACCCAAACAGCCCTCACAGAACCGTGGAGGTTGTATTTCAGAGTTGTTACCTCGAGCAGAACAGCTCCGAGATCAGAGAGGCTGAACAGTGCGAATCTACAGTTAGCCGCATCTGGTAGCCATGGAGCAACTCATTCCCAGTGGGCTCTGAATAGGATTGAACTAGGGCCAAACGGTCCAAGTCCCAAAAGCGCTTGCTAAAGAATCTGGGTGAATAGAAATTCGCACAAGGAGAAACAGACCACTAAGATCGGAACCTTCATGGCGTTTTGTCCGCAAGCCCAACATGCCGTGGATGCTGTTCTTGAGTCCTAAACAAGGTGAAATCATAAGGAAGGCTTCCAGTTCTGGTCACCACACCTGGGCGGATCAACTCAGCAAGGCTTCGTCCTGCTTCCCTTCAGCCCCCCCGTCCCGTCGTCCCGTCCCCCGTGGACCCCGGTGCCGCGCCCTTCCACGGTATCCGGGTGCATCGTCTTCAGGAGCTGCGCCATGACGCGCGCGTGGCCCCGCAGCGCCGCGAAGCTCAGCGCAGTCCATCCTATGACCGCCGGGTTCGTAGGCTGTGGATGGAAAAGCGAAATCCAGTTCGCACCACCGTTCAGAAACCCTGGTTTCGGATGATTCCCCCTGTAAATACCAACAAACAATGGTTTCCCATGGTTTCAAAGTGGTGGATTTCGTCCATCCTCAGTATGACTTGGGTGACTGGGGTGATTGTCCGCTTACCATGGTGATAACCAGGTTGGTTGAGCATCCAAGTGGCATAACTCTGATGCATCAACGAGTCTGGCAGGCCTCAACGAATCTCCGGGTCGGATGTCTGATATGTCTGCTTGGATGTTCAACCAACATCCGGTAATTACTTGGGTTGTAATTATAATCATGGTTATAACTGGGGTAACTGGGGTGATCATCCCCTTATAACTATGGCTATGGTTTATCATGGTCATAACCTACTTACATGACGTTGGTTGAACATCCAAGTAGCACCAGCCAGGATAGCGACTGGAGCAGCAAAGCTCATATAGGAAATGACGCTCTTACCCCGCAGCGGAAACATGAGACTCGGATTGAAAAGTTCAGATTCCTGTCCAAAACAGAACCAACTCTTTGCCGATATAAACGAAGTACTTGGCAGAGTTGGCTCATGTCACTGTGATGCTGTGCCTGCTGCGCTTTGTGAACACGGTCAACGTAAAAAGAAGAAGAAGGAAGCGGCAAACCATAGCATGTCTATGATGTCCAGTTAGAAACCTTGGCAACACTGAAGGCGTCTTCGGATCAAAGCAGAGATCACTTCAGGTCCATGAATCTGCAAACATCTTAGTCCATGATTCCAAAAGCTGAATTAAGAACTGGATCCAAGTAAAGGTCGTTGGATCCAACTTTCTCATGGCTTTTGCTCGTTGGATCTGCTTCGCTCGCGGGTCGCTCGCCTCTGTGGAAGGCCGTGGCGGAGGCGGCGCTGCCCAGCAGCAGCTGCACGGCTTCGTGGTCCCCCAGATCCTTGGTTGCTGCAACAACTCCCCTGCAAAAAGTTGCACTTTTTGGGGGGTTGGTGGAAAACACCTTTATTTCCCCAAAAGTTAAAGTCTAAAGATCCAACCCAATGGCAGTCAAGGATCTGCGGCGCTCATCAAGGCCGTCTTCTCCCCGGCTTCGCTGTTCACCTCTGCCTGAAAGGAAATCCTGAGCTTTGCAGGCGCCACGGCGCCTCGGCACGTCACCTTTGACCCGGTCCAATCAGCTTGACCCCATTCCCATAGCCAAACACGTGAAAGTCAGCATGTCCACAAACTTAAGCCAAGCCTCAACTCCCTGACTACCGCCGTGGCTTGCCTGAGGACTGCGAGATGCAATGCGGTGAGGCCCTTGGAGTCGCCACGATGTATGTCTGCCCCAGCTTGCAGCAAAAAGCGCACCACCTGCGCATGTCATTGGCAAGGGCGATTTCGCCTGGCTGTGGTTCTAAGCAAAAACATACATATTCATTGCAGCGTAACCCTTGTTGCACCAAGGCTGCCAGTTATTTGCTGCTCCAGAAAGGAACCAAATGCCGACCAACTGCCATTTTGCGCACTCCAGCATTGAAGTTGACACACCCGAAATCATGTCCCAGCCAAGAAGTTCACACGAGCGAACCGGAAACCGGCAAGCAGCCTTTCCATGATGGCCGCTCAAGGAAAATGGGTGTGTAAAAATCGGATCTTCAAGATTGTGGCCTTGCTTTTGGTCTCCCTTTGAGCCAGCCTGCAAAAGGATACCCCGGGAAAGAAAAACACAAACCCACGTGCAGAAAGGACTCAGCCTCAACGTTCTTGGCCCTGTGCAACGGCGTCTGGCTACTTCTTGGCTCTGGAAGGTTCACATCGGCGCCAGCATCGCACAGGTGCTCCAAAATTCTCACGTGGCCAGCCTTAGCCGCAAGGTGAATCCATGGTGGAAAAACAAAACAATCGCCCATGGGTGAATCTGATTGGGTCTCACTAGCCATCCGCAAAAAAACTGTCAGAGGTCTTGAAGCCAATCATCTGTCTGAAACTGTCGGCTGCAGTGCGCCCTGGAAACCCCCGCGACTAGGCCAGCACAGTCCGGCCTCACAGTGTACCCTCCCACCAGCTAACATGGAAGTGCACGGACCCCTGTAGAAAGACTACTTTCCTCTTGGAAAGGGCCTTTTTGCACTTCCATGTTAGTTGTTGGGAGGGCAACTCAAGAATTCCGCACGTTTTTTTCAACCTGGCAATTGCCATGCATGTATGCTTTCGCCGCAGCTCAAGGTGCTCGGACATTACATATGGGGGTGGATCAGTTTTCTCCGTTTGGCCCCAAAATGACCATGGGACACTTTTCCCGTTTAGTGGTGATTGTACGCCATCTTTTTTGGTGGTTTCCCCAATGGTCACCCCACGTATCACAGATTTGTTTGATCAACCTCCATCAATCGGATTGTTTCAAGTGGCCTCGGCGGCTCGGAAACACCCGCTGCGGCCACGCTCCAGGGAATCCGGGTGGGCATGGGCCTGGTGGAATAAAGAAACCAACGGCTTCGTTCGGCCGCATGGGGCAGCTATCCGACCAATTTACCTGGAACCTGAGGTTAAGGGGGTCCTGGCTTGGACCATTTTCCTTTTGCAGCATTTGAGAAACTTAGGGGTATTCGATCAAAACAATCTCGACTATTACAAGAATCGTGAAAGACGTTCGTAGCCAGATTGCCAACCAGGCTTCTCAGTCAATGTTGCACCGAAGGTTTGAGGGGTGCTATCAGAATCAGGCGGGAACTTCTGCTTCATCCATCAGCATCATCAGCGGAGTGGAACCATGCGATGGTTTCGAAACATTGAAGAGATTAAGTTGAAATCCATACAAACCACTGCCCAAACCGGATTCAAATCTCAGGCAAATCAGCCCGAACCACACCCAACTGATACACCTCAACACTGCGTCATCGAAGCGCTCACAAGCCAACTTGTGGCCTGAAACCAATCCTACTGTGGATGGACGAAATCCTGCACAACTTCGAAACAATGGGAAACCATTGTTTGTGGGGGGAATCATCATTCCAGGGTTTCTGAACGGTTGTGCGAAATGGATTTCGTCAAATCCATTTCGTCCATCCACAGTACCTCAGCTGTAAACTAGATTCAACCAAACCCAATCTAACCCGGAGAGAATTTACCGGCCTCAAGTCAGCCCTCAACGCACCATGTAGCACACTTGCCCACATGGATCAGGATGAAGCTGGTGCAAGTGATGCCAGCGATGCCCCTCGTCTAGGCAACCAAGAAAGCAATCAAGCAAGCAACCGATGAAGCAAACAAGCAATAAAGCAATCATACAAGCAACCAAGCAAACATGCAAAAGCAAGCAGGCAATTGGGTAAGCAGGCAAAAGAGAAAGCAAGCAAGCACGCAACCAAGCCAGGCCGAGCCGAGCCACCCAGCCACCAGGCTACCGGGTCACCAAGCAACCAAGCAAACCAAAATAAACCAACCCAACCAATTGAACCCCACCCGCCCACCAATCCAAATCAACCCACCAAGCCCCAACCGACCTTTAATTTAACTCCAGTGCTATCTACTAACCCCCTCTCCCTGAGTACGCACCCTCGTTAAACGTCACCGTCAGAACACTACAACTTCGAGCCTTGAGCAAGCTGACCAGCACCTCTTCTGAACCAGTGAAGGCAGCAGTGGATACCTCCGGATCCAGGCGGTACCTGACAAAATGTAGAAAGATTCCCGGAAAAAAAGAGCGAACGCGGGCAAACCAAGGCGCTATACATGTAATGAGAGTGCAAATTATATGTCCAAACAAAAAACAACAACTTGGGGTTGAAAGGTACTGGCAAATCTTCGGGAAGCCGTCGCATTCAAACATACGAAATATATATATATATATATATATATGACGGTTGTCTGAAATTCCTTGTTCCGGAAACCGCAATCTTCGCGAGAAAAAAATTAACTTTCGCGGACCCCATCGCGGAACTTTCGCGGGGCTGTTCTCAGAACATTCATCACAAAAGTAGTACACAAAGTACACTTTCGCAGCCCCAGCTCGAAAGTCGCAGCTCTTCAGTGCGGCTTGAATACGAAAGTAGTACACGAACTAAACTTCCTCAGCCTCGAAAATCAAACTTCTCAATACGAGAGTAGTACACAAAGTGAACTTCCGCAGCCCCATCTCGAAAGTTGCAAGCTTTCAGTTCCAAAGTAGCACGCGCAGCGCGCTTTCGCAGCTCCAGCTCACAAGCTGTGAGCTACGCGCGAGAGGACCCGTTGGCCTCATGTCCGGAAACTGGCGGGGCCGTTGACTTTCGCGAAACTTTCGCGGATCTTTCGCCAAACATTCGCGAAAATCCGGCTGGAAGTTCCGCTCAACTTGCCCCGACAGCTTCAAAACTCCCAGAAGCTGGTTTTTGCTGGCTGGGGGTTGTTTTTGCAGCGGCGTATTCTTGCGGCGACCCTCAGGCTGCGCATTCTCCAACCAACTTCAGTCTGCGGGCATTCTGCGCGCACTGCCGGTAAATACACATGGTTCATCACTCCAGCTTCCTGTTAGCAAGCCACACAAAACTTTCGCGGAAAAATAATTAACTTTCGCGACCCCCTTCGCGGAACTTTCGCGAAGGTCAACGCTAAGACCAAAAGGTCTTCCCCTTCATAGCTCAATACAAGGACCTTTCGGACGACTCTCATATATATATATAGATTCTCAGGATCATGGAGCTTCTAGTCACAGCCATTCATGCCGAGCGGCTCAAGTTGCCGAAAAATCACATGCAGCTCTGAAGGGCGAAGATCCTTCCAGTTCTCAGCTGTGACAATGCCCTTGTCACAGGTCAGCTGCTGCTGCATGCAGCTTTTGCCTGTTTCCTGCAAAGCGCTTGGCACAAGGATCAAACATCAAAGGCGCTTCGGTTTCGACTTGCCGCGAAATTCTTCCAAGCTCCTTCTGGATGCGCCGCTTGATACTTTGGACCACTCCTTCCAGGGATGGCGCAACCAGGTCTGTGCCAAAGGGAAAGAAATGGCAACCGCGCGGCGAAGAAGAATGCTGGGGCCCACAACAAGTAAACAGGAACACTTCCGGGAAGGCAAAGGCCATCCTGACGGAAGCACAAACCTCTTGCACCGTCTTGGAATAGTCTTGCTCACTGCTTATCGCACCAGCGACAACTGTAGTTGCCAGCACCTTGCTCAGGAACGGCAATGACTTGGACGATAAAACACATGGGTAGACGGCTTTCCAAGCAAACAGACTTGCCTGTGTCTGTCTATGTCTGTGCGTGTGTCTCTGTGATCTGTGTCCTTCCGTGTCTGTTGTTGTTGGTCTTGTATGGCCTTTTGCGTCTCTGTCTTCGTCCGTCTGTCCTTCTAGCTGGCTGTCTCTCTATATGTCAGTCTCTCAGCCTGCCTGCCTGCCGCCTGCCTGCCTATGCGTGTGCGCAGCTTTCTGGTGACTGTGTCTGTTCGCCTGTAGCGGATGCATCTCGGGTTCCTTCGTTGGAAAGATCGATGGAATCCAAGCTCAGGCTATGCTCTGTGCAACTCCCTGCGCTTCCAATGCTTGTTCCAACGCAATTGCTAAGTTTTATTGTCGATTCGACCCTCGAGCCCGCTGTATCTTTATTGTTCACTCGTGGACTCGTGGCGTCGACGCAGAACAACCCATAGTGATTCGTGTTACGTAATATCTTCTTTCAACCGCATAATGTTGGTTTGAATAGGAAATTATCTTGCGTCTTGTGCTGTCTCGCGTGCTAAAATACCCTACACTAACGGCATTCGATCGCCGTAGTCCACAAAATTGGGCAGGCCACTTGTTTTTTGCGACGCAGGTGTTCACGCCACGACGTCCGAATCGAAGAGAACGCCGTTGCACATGGCGGTGCAGTGCGGAAACGTTGTTGTGGGGGGGGGGAATCTACGTTGATCACGGCGAGCGCATGACCACCCGCCAAAATAAACATAGACGTGGCCTGGGGAGCGAGACAAAGCCGGAGCACGGGAAGCCTGAAACCACAATGGCAAACAAAAAAACAAACAAACTGCCACACGGCAATCATCTCAAGAATTCAGCCCAAACCGCAGCAAAATGCTCCGAAGTCAACCCTAAATCAGGCCTAAACAACAGCCCAAACCCAGCCGGGATGCTTCCCATAAACAGCTCAACACCTTCTGCCCCAGTTGCAAAGAAAAGAAGTGGAATCTGCCAAACAAATGGTTGAACATGCTCCTTCATCTGGCGGCTCCAGCTCAAGCAAGAGCTCCCCGGCGACGTTCCGCACATGAATCATGCAGCAAAATGCTTGAGCCCAAAAGCTGGGGGACAATCTTCTCAAATGTCCTTGCTCCAGCATGAGAAATCGCCAGTCAGTCTCCGTGCGAACAACTTTCAAGGAGTTGCTTGGGCTGTCCGCCAAATTAGTCGAGGCCGAAGACCGCCCTAGTAGGACATTGGATACCAAACTTTGAAGCCGCAAAGGCGCCACACCGCTTCGGTAAACATTCTTAAAACCCACAGCACTGTTCTAACCGGACATAGGAATCAAGGAGTCCCCTGTTGTTGATTGAAATTGATAGTCCCCCATGTTAGATAATCTGAATGTTAAAAGTGGTTAACGAAATTATGTTTTTCTTCTGGAATTGGCCCAAGCCATTCAAAGCACGTATTTGTTCAGGGCCCCAACATGTTTCAAGATATTAAATGAACTAATTAGTTGAATCATTAGAATATTGTAAATTGTTCACCGCCCCAAACAGGATATGTTGACCAAACCTCCTACCAGACCGGTAAGGGGGTCTTTCTCTCAAACACTAGTCTCCAATATTGCAGTTCCCTCTTAAAGCAGTCGCAGCACGATGTTGCAAATCACATCGTGAAATTTATGCTGCAAAATTAACACCATTGGGGAAGACTGGAAACTTGCCGGTGAACACTATATTACAGCTTTCTCATCCTCCATACTACCCAGGAAAAACTGTTGCCCCACCACGCGACCTGTACACATGCGATGGTCTGTTGAAAGGACTTGCAGGAAACAACAACACCATCCTGTTCCCACAATCATGGAACAGAACCAAGCACTGTACGATCATCTATAGCAACACAACACAAGAGTGTAATTGCGGTAGCCCCAGTGCTTGGTGGAAATCAACTGCTTGATTGCTATAGTAGATGATGTATCTGTGGTTGCGCCGATCTCCGAGCATTCTTGCTGCCGGTTCGCAGAAACATACCCCGCAGACTATCCACTTGATTGTCTTGGTAAGATCCCTTCACACCGGACGGTGACACCTCTGATCTATGCGTAAGGTGTTGAACATAGGACAAAAATGAAAAGCCACAATAGTCTACATGCTCCTGGGCGTGTCTTTTTTGAGCAAAGGAAAGCACAGAAGAACCACCATTTTGGGGTCCCCCTCTTATGAGACAGATCCTCTTGTTGGCGTCCATGATGCCTTGGTCCACAGCAAAACATTGGAGACTAAGAGCTGAAATCCTCTCCAGCAAGACATGCGGAAGCCTCTGAAACGTGACGACTTGCCACCCTGCCGTCACTCCCGTTCATCCTGCCTTGGTTTCCGTGTCAATGCGCGCCTGCTCAATGAGACGCGCCACCTGCAAAGGGGACAAGAGGTGACGCGCCGTGGAGTGCTCTTCTTGAGGAAGCTATGGTAAACTAGTGGACGCACGAGCTGAGTCAAAATCCAAACCCGGTATGAAAATGGTCTACCCAGAACCATTTAACAACTATTTCTGGTCCCAGCCCCTTACTAACCTTCATCTACCCGGGTTTTGATTGTGGCTCAGCTCATCTTGCGCAACCGTTGTTCTGAAGCAACCTTTGTTCTGACACAGCCCTTTGCAAGCGTCTAGCTACACAAATGGTGCATTTGTGATACTCACTACAACCAACACGAGAGACTTCCTTGCTTTGAACAATGCTGATAGAGGCGTGCTCTGCGTTGCAGGTATCGCTCAGCGCACATTTTTGCAACTCTGTCAGCCGCACGTGATGGAACATAAGCTAAAGACTCAAGCGATTCGATGTGCGGCATGCCTCGGCGGGCCAGCATCTGGTCAAGAGCTTCAAGCTGGGAGTTTGGTGCCGGGAAAGGAATAAGGGGGCCTCACATCCATGGAAATACAAAACTGAGGTACAGTTCTACATGTCATTAGCCACAATAAAGTACAAACATGCAAGCCACGGGCAAAATATGTGGCTTCCCTCCTGGACACACAAGTAGGGAATCCCCCGCTTGTCGTGGGAACACTTGGTGAGTCCCTCAACGTTCATCTCACATTGGCCATAGACTACTGGTTTGCTTGATGGAGCCTCCCAAATGTATATCCAAGTATGTTCATGATTACACACCACGTGCCCCCACTGGCTCTGAAATGGCAACCAGCAAACCACCATCAGCTCTGAATCAGGATTTGGTCTGATGCTGCAAGTGCGGCAAACCTGTGCGCCACTTTCTTCCAAGCTCACTGAACAAACGCGAAAACAATGTCAATCGCAAAGAAAACGCTGTCAAGCCATCGATTGCTTCCGCTGTGACTAAGGCACAAGCCGGAGATAAGAACATGTTGGTCCCATGGCAAGATCTTGCAACTGACCGCCAAACTATAACTACATCTGCTGATACCAGTCCGCCAACTTGAGTCGTGCCGCAAAGCCAAAAGCGTATGGAGAATCGAGTTGTGAAATGGCCATGGGCACCCCCAGTGAACATCCCCATCCCCACTAAAATAAACTAAAATGGGTGGTGCACCTACCCCAAAATGGTACCATTGGTTTTGACCCACAGCCAAATGTACATTATGATACCCGGAAACTGCTCCGGCCCGCTTTGTTCCTTGCTCGCATGTGCTTTGAGAAGCTGGCGCGATGTGTGTGTGTGTGTGCGTACATGCGTGCGCTCATGTGTGTGTGTGTGTGTGTGTGTCTGTGTGTCTGTGTCTGTGTTTTTCAGGTCCTGTCGCTAGATCTAAGGCACTCAAAACCCTCACACGTGCTGATCCTATGACCACCGGTTCAAATACAAGGATCTCCCACGCGTATTGCTGTCAACAGGCACGGTGGCATGGTCAGCTCATGAGAGCAGCTTGGAGCGCGGCAGAAAAATATGTCTGTCCCACTGTTCCACTTTCGCGCAGAGCGGAATCACACCTGCCAGCTCAGCGGGAAGACTCATGCATTTGCCAAACAGAAGAGAAGAGCTTGGATTTGCATAACAAGAGGGATGCCAAGGTAATCTGGGAATATATGGGATATATATTGTATATATATATACATATACATATATATATATATGACACTTGCATGGACAGCACAGCTCCGAGTTCGGAAAGTGAACAATTGCCAGCGGTGAACATGATCCTGACGACTGACGATGTGCGCAACATTAAAGCTTTTGACATGAAAAGCTAAACCATTCGAGCACATAGTGGCCCCAGCCAAGATTTCCACTTCGGCGTCAGCTCTGAGGAAGAAGCACACACACAAAGTGAAGGGATAGTAAATTGAAGTAGACACATATGTCGTATCCATTTTCGTTGCAAATGTTCCTGAATCCAACTTACCAATTCGACACTATTCCGAGTGAACGTGGGTAAGGATTTGTACCTTTGCTCCCCATGCTTTTCAGGATGAACTAGCAAATGGACTCATCAAACCTGAATAAAGAACGCGGCATCCAACCCTTGGTATTTCTTGGTATGGTAGGAAAATACTTTTTTTGCACCCCCTCACTGAAAATGAACAGACCAAAACAACTAAAAACCTAAAACATGCCAACAACAGTGAAGTGGCTCTAATCGTATATCGCTCAAGTTGCTCACAGTTCTTTCAGACTTGGCACATACCACTCCCCCTGCCTGCGGTCTGCTCTGCACAATGAAAATCCTGTCCTGTGGATCCACACAGCCTTCAATGTCCTGCGAGAGCAATTGCTTGTTTCAAACTGAAGCCCGCATGTAGACAATATTACTGGGCTGCCTGAAATTCCCTGCACAAGTTTAACTTTGAGTGCGTTGAATGGAAACTGCCACTCAACCCTAAAAACCGAACAAGCTAAGCAAACAGGTGTCAGGACGCTTATTCAGGGGTCATTGAATTTGCCCCTCAGAATTTGCAATCTACTGGTTACCGTTGACACTCCCACTTGAGGAGGTTCCAGAAAGGGGAAATGGCTTGGATACCCTGCTATTTGCTCTGTGCTTCTAGACGGAAGTTCCCAAGCCCTGACCTACTTGCATCCATCTGAAATCCTGCTTCAAGCCTTGCACACTTCCTAGCTTCTCTCAGAATCTGCGAAAGAAAGACCAGAAACGCCCAATCAACTGCAATCCCTGCGTGGTTTTCCATGGAATGCCGTAGCTCGCACACTAACATAGCTGCAAATGGAACAAGAATCCAGTCTAACTTCGGATTGATTCAAAGGGCTAACAAGTCCCCCAAAATGAATCCCTGACAGAAGCGTGAACAAAGCCTGCTGAGTATGGTCCTCCAAATCAACCCGACGTTGACACTACTTGTTGATCACTCATCACCGCGAAGCAAGTTTCATCAGCCCATCGGCCAGGCCACATTGTGCAATGAAATGACCCGTGAGCGTGTTGTGCCAAACATCGTGCAACATCCTTCGCCTGCATCCATCAACAAGCGCGCCTAGGCTATGATTGATCAGAATCAATCGATATACACAATGCACCACTGCAAGGACCGCTGCACAAAAACAACACGCAAACAGGAACTGCAGAATAATACAAATATGGCAGGGAGATCCACTGTATCGCACAATAGAAAACAATATGACATATTGTGGCAAACAATCACTGTGCAGTACAGTTACTCGACGTAAACAAAGAACACTGGGTGGCTTACACAAGTCATATCTTCCATGTGAATCTGTGCACACACCTGCCAGAACACCCACACACACACAAAAAAAACAAAAAAAGCAAAGCAACAAGTTGCTCTTGTTTCAAGTTGGCTCTCTCTTTAGGATTAGTCTCCTTCCAAACAAATGCCCACACTCTGTTTGACAAACGGGAAGCATGGTACACCCACTTGCAGAGATCGCACTCGGAACCTGGCATCTCATCCTATGGCTTTGGGGCGGCTTGCGGCTTTGGACAAACGAACAAGCGGGGATAATTACTGAGGGAGCGGGTCGGGACATGGGGGGATTCCACCTTGGCGCCATTTCCCATATCAAAGTTAGTCAAGGTGCATCAGACGGGGGAATCCTCAACCGCATCCAACTGGTTCCCCCTGTATCCCTAGTTGGTTTCCCTTGCTCCGCGTCCGAGGCTTCCATCGGTCCTGCGGGGACCCAAAGGCCTTCTCCACGGCGCGGCCCGCCTCCGCCAGTTTGCTGAGCAGGGTCTGGCCTGCGCGCCGTGCGCGTTTCACGGGAAAAAGTTGGGCCCAAGGGAAGATGCGGGGAGGGAACGTCGTTTGGAAGCTACATCCCGGGAGCCAGGGGTAGCACTGGGAGTGAAACGGAAACCAAAGAAAAAAGGAATTGACGCGAGCGGCCATGGATTTGACATGTCAAGCCTGACTCAACTCGATTCCCCATTCCGCGGCGCACGGGATGCCAACCTTTTGCAGGGAACCAAGCGTCAATGAAGGTGCACCGACAGAAACACACCAACGACTTTGGAATGGAACCCCGTCTTAGAAACAGTGTCTGCCATTGTGGAGCAACCGATGGACGACCTTGAGATCAGCGAATGCCGTGCAACAGGGCAGCCGATGCCCGAACACAGCAACACACAGCATATACCCCTGCAATACACCAAGGACTTGTTCGCAAGAACACTTCAGGACGTTTGTTGTTGATGATGCCAAGGCTCCATGTGTTTTAGTTGGTGCTTTCTCATGTTTGAGACAGGTGTCTCTGCAGTTGTTTCTTTTTCAGGTTATGCAACGCGACGCGCTTGTTACGTAAGTGTGCAACGGGAAAGCAGAGCTTGACACTTCCGCATCGCAAGATTGAAAGTCGCAACTACTCAGCGCAAGCCAGGTGACGACAAACCAGGGGTCAGATTTGTAACAAGGTATGTAACGACGATATAACCAGGCATAGCTACCTTTTCCAACTTGTTGTGTGAATGGCGAGCGAGCGTCTCTGCGGGTATGTCCAACGAAAGCCTGCTCTGGCACCCATGGGAAATCACTGAGAGTCTGGTTTGCATCAGGGTTTGCAACGAGGGGCATGCAGCCAGCCAGTTCATTGATGCGTGGTATGTAGCAGAGGTGTGTAACGAGGGGTACGTAAGGAGCCAGCGGGCCTTGGTACACAGGGTAAGTAACAGGGAATGTAACGAATGTCCGCCGCGGCTCTGTTACAATCCCCTCAAGATCCAAATGAGGAACAATTGTGTGCGGTCAAGTACATGTTGCTGAGAGGCTTGCAATGTGCTCCAATAATCAAGCCTTTTGAGCCGAGTACACAAGCCCAATCACGCGGTGGCCTGTGCTCGACGCATCCAGTTACAAAGAGCACATGGCCCTGTCTCTCACAGCCTGCCGATGAGTTGGGACTTGTGCCGCCGCAGTCACCAGTACAGGTGTGTCCAAAAAATAAAACCGAGCCCAGTACGCGCTTGGCTCGCTGATAGTTTCCGTGACGCACAAACCAAAAGAGGTCTCTGAAGCTTAGACGGGCCAAAGCACTGCTCTCGATGCCCACAGGTGAAACTCTCTGGGCGCCCTGCGAAAGCTATGGTCCTCAGCACGAGAGAGAAGCTACGGTCTGTATGCCCCTTCGGAATTGGGAACGGCTGGCACTAGGACCCCAGCCAAAAAAAAAAGCCTGGTGAGCGGAAAACAAAGGGGCACCCCAAAAAGGCCCAAAAAAACAAGGGGAACCAATTCTGGGGAAGTAAACACCACCATTTGGATGAGGCATGCTCATTGCACAAGCTGCCACCTGTCAAATCTGTCCGCCGCTTGCACCCTAAGGCCGCATCTGTAAGTAGTCGTAGCCGGTGGAACCTCACCATGCAAGGAATGTCCGACCTGAGCGCAGTCAGAAAATCTCTATCTTGTCTTCAACATCTACAGTGCGGGCCAAGAGTCCGAGTGGCTCCCACTCATGGACATCAAAAAGCTACAGGCCCATGGCAACTACCAAATGCCTGCGGCACTCGGTTGCCACTGCTGCAAGCTGAGGCCCCGGCGTCGCACAGATCGATTCGAAGAGGCCGGCGCCAGCGAAGCCCTCCAAGTCCTCTCCGTTGCTGTCAGACCGGAAGATGAGACACTCCTGACGGCAACCAGGGCAGAGTGATGGGGAAACCGGCAGGTTTTAGGTAGCGGTGCACATTGAGCGGAACACAGCTGGTGTTTCAGTAAGTATGCAAAACAGGGATCGCTTCGATACACAAGCAGTGTTTATACCGCACAAGCCCAAAACCGTACATATTTTTGCTGGTGCTGCCCCATCCAAAGCCCTCGAACAACTTGCTCTTCGCTAAGTTTGTGCTGGTGTGACCCCTCCAGTATAGTGACACAGTATGAGGAGTCGCACAAACCTCAAGCACTGAACGCACATATGAGCAGCCGCAAGCCAGTATCGCCTCTCTGCAGCTTTGAACCACAAGGCTTCAGCCTTCACAAGCGCATTGGCCAACTCACTCTGCCAATGGAGCTGCCTCAGCTCTTGCTTCGCATTTCTACACATCCTTTCTGAGCAAGGCACCAACTAATCTAATGAACGAGGCGAAGGCGTTTTTGCACAATGATAATTATTCCATCAAAAACTACAGGTTGCTCTACATCCCTCGCGACCCCTACAAGCACTGGTAATTGTGTGATGGAACAAGAAGGCAAATCCTGTCTTTAAACAAACCATGCTTCAAATATTCAGTTCCCGTAAATAGCATAGGGGAAATTAGCGAGTCCCCCATATCCCTGCCAAACCCAATACTGATTGCTACTTCCGAACTCGGAGCCTCTCCCAATTTGAAGTTACTCGCATGCGTTGACGCGCCTGTGTCCGCAGCAACGTGCTTTTGCTCAGGAAGGAGGTCACCACTGGCGTTTCGCCCTTCCTGCGCAACATAGCAATGCACACCCAGAGCCCTTGCAAAGATCCAAGGAAAGCTCGTAGTAGCCATACCAGCTACAACCGGGTATTTAGCAAAGAGTGCTAAACAAATGGCCCGCACAAATGACAAACTTGCTGGAAAAAGATACGTGGTTGCCAACGCAGTACGACCGCAAGTCCAACTGATTGCCTACCAGGCAGGGTGGTTCCCTTGAACGGGTATACTCCACCACGACACCACCCACCTTTTTGTCCAGCCATTATGATTGTGGTCCGTGTCAGCCATTATGATTTGTCCAGCCATTTTTGTCCAGCCATTAGGGGACAAACTTATCTCTGGTCGGGGGGGGCGTGGCGGCCAAGAATGATGATGGTCGAGCAGCGCTAAGCGAGAATTCAGAGGAGATCAGCCATGACGATGGAATAAAATAGCTTCTGTTTCAACACGGGATACTGTTCTGCAAGTTACACAGACATTCCATCATGTGGGTGTGGGTCAAAATTAAACCACCAGGAATTGGACCGCGGGTTAAATCGTCCATGTTTCCATTTACTGAGGCAACCCATTTTGGGGCTACCCTATTTTTGACAACCACAGGACAGCCATGTCCAATAATTTGGATCCCAAAGTAAAAAACCTACGACACGTGAGCGAGCTCGTTTTACCCCAGGATAGTCAGGACTCCGCAAGGCTGTACACGGGCAAAAAGGCCAGCTGTTTCGCAGCCTGGTGTGGCTGTGGCTCAAAAAACCGGTACCAAAACGGAACCCTGGTAAGTGGAAACATGGAACAAAACCTGTGGTTTGCCCCTCCTTTTGAGCCACACCCATGTTTTTTTTGTGTTTTTGTGTTTTTCGGTCAAGGCTGTCTCAGCAATGACCAGGAACCGCCGTCAGACGGATTTCTAATTCCTGAAACAATTACAGGTCCAAGTCATCAGCCGTGAAACAGCCCAATGGGCAGGAGACTGGCACAATTAGCCCGCTCGGCAACTGGGGGTTTACGCAACACAACACAGAAGCAAACACCTGGATCTGCAACGCGTGCGCGCACATGCGCCGTCCCACTACAAGGCATTCGGTAACACAAATGCACAACACGCGCAATGGCAAGCATCTCAATCGCAAGTCGACCCGCCGCTGCAGGCTCCCTGCATTGCGGTGCAGATTCGCTTCTTGGCGTCCAGCAGGCTTTGAGCATAGCTTGCGGAGCACTTGCTGAACATGTCTCCACTGGGGCCGTGCATGCAATGAATCTTGATGGTATCAAGCAATTTCTTCATTGCGTCTTCCATGACTTCCTTGTGAGCTGAGAGCGTCTCGCAACGCCCGGACTTGATGAAGCAGTGGAAGTCCGGCTTGCCCCCGACGGTGTTCTGATCGAAGACGGTCATGTGATAGCGTGCCGGGACCTTCCAGAGTTCGCATCGGCTCTCGGAGGTGCGGAACTCCGCGGCGCGGCACTCTGCTCCCATCTTCTCACATCGATCCTTGCAATCCTCCATGGTCGTGGACACCACCTCTGCTTCCTTTGGCACCACTTGCTGGTCACTGGGGCTCTGCCGACACACGGTTCCAAGACCAAGAGATAGGAGATGCTCCGACTCCGCATCTAGTTGCACAGCTTTGCCAAGTGAGCCTGTGATCGTGGTGCCGTTCTGGTAGGCGAAGAGTCCGACACCAATGACGATGCCGATGATTGCTGCGATTGCTGCGATGGCTTTGGTACTTCGCGCTTTCGCGGGCAACTCCTCCTTCTCGATCATTGGGCTTTCAACACTCCCCTCCTCCGCCATTGCAAAGGCCTCAGGATCCTCGTGCTGCCTTTTGCAGCCGGGTGTATTCAGTGCTTAAGCTCGGAATTTGCAAACCCCCTCCCCATTTCTCAGGGCTTGTTGATTGCCAATATACCAATGTGTTGCCAGCTTCTTCAAACCCTTTGTGCAGATTGCCTTTGGGTCGGTGCGCTTTGCAGCTGCGGACAGGCGCTTGCAGCTGAAGTGCTGGCGCTTCCGATTCCAAAGCCAACAGATTTGGGGGTTGATCAAAGGGTCCTTTACATCAGATGACCATTGGTTGGACAACCACTAAAATGATATTTCAATTAAATCAGTAACGTTACCCTTGGTCAAAACTGGGGGCCTTTAACGGGATATTGGTCTCAAGCCCCATTTTGAAGACTCAACCCTTCGGCTTAATGATCGAGTACCGCCGCGCCTTGCTCGAAAGCTCAGGGCGCGCCCCGGGTAGTTGCCTACCTCGCGAAAAGATGAAATCCGCACGCCGACCGCAGGGACTAGCCGACCGAGATATGACACGTTCACAGAGTCACAATCAAAACCCGGCATCAAAATGGTCTACCCGGAATCATGCAAAGAACTAACTACCAAGGCCGCGCCCATTCATGGCTTGGATTGTCCCTTACTATCCTTCAATACCCGGGTTTTCATTGTGACTCATATGATTTGATAAGGGCGAACAGCGATCAAAATGGTCAAAAGCTGCCGAAGTGAGGTGGGCAATTGAAAAATACTCAAGAGCTATTACGTGGGAACAGGACGATGTCGTCTGATAAGGTTGAGAAAGTATGTCAAGTGACAATCATGTGCATGTATGCAAACGCTGCTAATAATGCGAATAATATGTGTACTCGTGTGTGTACCAGTGTGTGTGTGTGTGTGTGTGCCCGTGCGTGTGGACAGTGTTTAAACGGCTGCAGGCGTGACAACTATTGACATCCTGAAGCGGCGGCTTCAACAAGCAACCCAGCACCTGAAGTCTGAATGCTGCATGAGTCCGATCCATGTGCAAATATAACCGCAGCTGCCCAGGACTGTAGAAATCGCTCAGGGAGCCCATCCGAAAGTGTGAGTCGGTTTTTGAGCTACCATCTGAGAGATGGTTTTCAGTGGCAGCTGACCTACGTGGGACCAAGCAAACTGACAGTGTGGACCGTAGGTATTAGCTATGACGTCGTTTGTACCGCATCAGTGTAACTGAGCGGATTCACAGCGCGCAGCTTGTTTACAGTTGCCTGCAAGTTCTGTCTGATAGTAAATGTTTGGCAAAGTCCCATTCAAGCTACCGGGTGATTCATCTCATCTCTAGGTGTTGACTCAAAACCTTCAAAAATCCGAGTGAGCGACATCCAGCGCCGAGCCCAGCCAAGGGCCAGGCCAAGGTTTCACCTCTACCTGGCACCACCTGCGTGAGACTGGAAGCTGACCAATGCTCAGGCAATGCTCACAGGAGCTGACCAATGCTCACGGCAATGGGCTGTGGGCCACCAAACAAATTTCCACCGGACGCTGGAAGAGGGACCTTGGAAACTGGTGCTTGAGAAACACTGCTTGACAAGAATTGGCCCAGTGCCAGGGTCAACTGTCGTAGTTTGGGCTTATGGACGAACATGCAGGCAGCCTGCAAGCGACAAGAAGAACCTCCAGGTGCCAATTGGAGCATCAATGAAAACTATAAATTATAAACAATAAACACATACACATCGTCAATGACCCCATGTTCAATGACCCCATGTTCCCGCTGGCAAACGTCGATTTTAAACGAACCATTGCGATTGAGCATTGAGGTTGTTCAGCCTTTCTTCTCAAGGAAAACAACGATCGCTTTTCAACTGCAAGTTGTTCCTTTCGCGGTACGTGTTGAACTCTCCAAGCAATGACGTCCTCTGCCACAGGGCAGAACGCCACAAGTAAAATTCCTCCATCTCCGCCAGCCGTATTTGATTGTGGCGTATCAGGTTCGGCTGAATCCTTGCGGCCCTGCCTCGCCGTAGACTTCATTGGGATCATTGGTGAAGGGGTTCCTTGGCTCCAGTCTTACACCCGCAAGGGACCCCAAACAGTGCGAAGAGGAATAGGGAGGAGCTGCGTATATAAAGAGGATCTATGAATCTATTTAATATAGAAGGTCCTGTCCCAGATCTTTCTGAATATACGTAAGAAGGTACTCATAAGGCCATACCTGAGATCTCCTTGCAGAATCTCTAACAAGGATCAGCACAAGCTCTCTTGGCGGGATCTCGACATCCAGTCCTACAAGATCGGTCTGCAAACGCTCTACAAGGCCCATGGTAGGTCCTGCGCAAAACCTCTTAATTACTGGAAGCGCATGCCAACAACTCTTGAAGAGCATCTAGAAAGAAGGTCCTGTGCAAGATCTCTGCTGAGGGCATCTGTATAAGGTACGCGTACGCTTCTGCGCAACATCTCCAAGCAGAACCTCAACAGGGAGCAGTGTGCAAGATCTGGCGGCGAGAGCTCTAGCCAAGGTCCACAGCAGGTCCTTGTGCTAGATATGTTGCTGCAAGATCAACTTCGATCCAATGCAGCCAAACTCCATAGAGGTGTTGCTTGAGATGATGGAAATGACGCAAAGGGTTCACTTGAGGTCAGGAATTCACATCATAGCGAGAGCGGTCCGATGCGCTCGGGGTTTACGCTGCGCCGCACTAAAAGCGTTCCAACGCGCCCAAAGTATGCAGAGGGCTCGCGATCGATGTGACAAATCTGCACCACATCACAGCGAGAGCGATCCGACACAGCCAAAGTCCGCAGAGTGTTCGCTTTCGATGGTAGAAGTTCGCACCGCGCCTCAGCATAAACACTTCAACGCACACCAAAAGTCTGCAAAGCGCGCCCATCCACGGCTTGCGGAAATCGCCCGGCACCACAGCAAGAGCGCACCCTCGAAATGCACTTGCGTTAATTTGGAAACAACTCTTGCACGAGTTGGCTCACACGAAACGATGACGGGCACCATGCGAAACTTCAATCTACCCATGCCTTACTCTTTCCATCAACAAACCAATTAGTGCAAACTCGGTGCAGACCCATGGAGAACCTCATTTTGAAAGACCTGAATATCCTGTTCAAAAATCTATATCAGCTTCGTAAGTCGAACAATGCAATGATGCCATGACATGCCACGCCTTCTGGAACACACATACTGTTAGCGTCCGCTCACAGCCAACGCTGAAGGAGAGTGAGCAGGCAGCCTTGTGTAAGTGCTTGCTGAGCATTATCATGATCGAAGCTATATGCAATGGTTGCACAACTAGCGTGGGGGAATTCCCATAAGTCTAGCATTGATGACTTTCTATGGTTCTTCCCCACCGGAGTCAGCCACAAGAAAGGTTCCCCTGACTGATTCTTCGGGAACAAGGGTCTACCAGTTGTGGCCGAGGCTCTTGGTATGCAGCACAAAGGCGTACTTTGCTGGCAGGAGCTCCTGATGTGCTACGGTCTAACACTAGAACCTGCGCTTAGTATTGCAAGTAGGGAACCGAGGAAACCCTGCCAATTCCAGTGGTTTGCAGCTGGTGTACTTGCAATATTTAGGGCATCTACCTTGTCGGTGAGTCCTATTAGGCCCCCCTTGCGTTGCAAGCCTGTCGTTGCCCTTCAAGGAGACATGACCGTACCCGTCCAAACAGCGGCCAGGGACGAAAGGAAGCACGCCAACCATCTTGGAAGGTCCAAGATCAAACAAGCAGCTGAACAAAGAGATTCGTCTAGCTCAGGATACAGAGCTAGGTGCCCATGCACATAAGTCGTGCCAAGTCCTGCTCCGCCAAGGAACTGCTGTGAGGCATCATGTGTTCCACCTTCCAGTACTGCATGCGATCCGAATCCTGCGCCTCTTGAAGCAAACCGCAGATTGGTTTAACCATAGCACGCCGAAGAATTGCCAATACGAAAGCGAGCCAAACGAACCATTCCTGCACGAGCACGGCCATGTTGAGGTCGTAGAAGCTCCGACCTGCCTGAACAGTGCGCGCCAGCAATGCGGTGTAGCTTCCCAACACGTACACACACGCATGATGGGGGAAGCAGCGAATGTAATCCGCCTGGCCATGTCTTGGGCAAATCTTTATCATGCATGCCCGCAAAGCTGTGTGCAAACTGCTTTGACTGGAACAAGTCCTGCCCTGAGGGCCTAATAACATCGCCCATGTGGAGCGTATCATCAGTAACATGTTCAGTTGGGATGTTTAGCAGAACACTTGGCGATATTGACACATGTCCTTGCTGCAAATGCGTGCTCACGGGCCTCAAGTCAAATATCTACCTTGCCTTCTGCAAATGAACCGTCAACATATGATGCTCCCGTCATAGGGCAATTGTGCCCCCTGGCGTGGGAGATTCAGAGCTCCCCAATGCCTCCACATTAGACCCTCCCGACATGGTGGGTTTCCTGTTGGCGTCCTTTAAAACCATGAATTAAACCATGAAAAAAAAGCGGAAAAGCCGGGTTGAATGGGACCGGTTTTAGATTAGACCCTGTTTTAAAATCATTCTCGACCTCTTTAAACCTCAAACCGACCAGCCACCCGTTGAGAGCTCGTCCCACAGCCCTGAATTGACCATCGCCTTGGCCAAAGACACCCAGGGCCGCAAGCCAAAGAGAGAGGCCCACACCTCGCGGAGAGATAGTCTGAGTCGAGATAGTCTGAGTCGACATTGGCATTTGGAGTTGGACCCCCGTCAAACAAAAAAGAACAACAAACAACATCAAAAACGGCAAAGCACAACAAGGTGGTTCCCTTTTTGTTGATTCCTTTGTTCTGTTTAATGGTGAACAGGGCAACCATTGCGTGATGTTGCGTAAAATTACGGGAAGATTGCAGGGGTCTTCAGGTTACCTTCAGGTTGGAAAGAACATATGTCATCCCCCCCCGGACATGCCCATCCATGGCAGGCTCCAAAACGTCCTGCGTGGCCATGTGAGACCTTCCCCAGCGAAAAGTCCAGCGAAGGTTAAAAGAGTCGCGAGTTGGTGGGAACCCCAGCTGAAAACCGACTCCTTTGCACACTTTCAACATCGCACGTATGCTGACTGGCCAGGAGGTTGCGCAGGATGAGACATAGTTGGATGCCGAGCTTGGTGTGGGGAGCGCAAGTTGAAGAAGGCACAAAACGGCCTTTGTCCTTCAGCCATGTCGCCAAGATCAAAGAAGGCACACAGGTAGGAAGCATCGCGCAACTAGAGAAGCAACAGGGAAACACGGTCAAATGTCTGCGCTACAATCGGAAGTCTGGACGCGCGTCCAGAGGATTTGGCGGGTTCCCCCAGATAAGCGTGCCTTCTCAAGGGTTGGCATGTCTGTTGCTCAGCCTTGGCTCTGGCTAGATATTTTTAGGCATCACCAGTTCAGAGGCATCACCAGCATCAGAGGCAGCACCAGCATCAGCTGCAGCACAGGCATGACCAGCAGCCATGGATGCGGATTTGCGCGTCGCACATCGCCAAACAACACAGACTCGGATTTGTGTCCGGGCCTTCTCCGGATTTTGCGGGCCTTCTCCGGGCTTTGCGGGCCTTCTCCGGGTTTGCGTGCTCCCCCAACCTCTGCGTGCTCGCTCCATGTTTATTTTATTTTTCTAAAAAAAAGAAGAAGTTGAGAAGGCACTGCCACTTAGGAAAAGCCTATGGCCAAACATGAGGTACCTACAGCAAAAACGCCCATCGGCTTTTCCCCGGGGTATCGTGCCTCTTTCTTTTTTGGCGGTTCCCCCCCAGCCGGTTCTGCGTCGGCCTGATCGGGTCCCCTCCTAGCTGGTTTTTGACCACAGGGAAAACAACAGGGTTCCATTTCCAGTCCCAGGGGCCCAAATTGCTTGCGAAATAGCGCCGAAAGAGTACTCAGTGCGTTGAACCTTCGTGTGAGGGGGGGCAGCTGGGAAAGCAATCATCAAGTAAATTCATGTCTGGGTATAGCGCCCTTTAGAACGGTTCCAAGCATTGAGCAGGCATGGTCCCCTGGAGAAGCCTCGTGGATGGGGGTCCAGACCCTCGATACAACGTTCCACAACGAAGGTGCAAAGAAAAACCATCAATCACCCATCTGGGCCTATGGACCAAAAAAAACAACGCCTTTTGGTTCAGCTGAAAAAATCAAATCGATCGATTCGCTCGCCTGCTTGGTGGCATCCCAGGCATCGCCCCGGTGGTACAAATTCAGCAGGCGCTTCTCGCCCTCCTGCCAGGCGGGCGGCGAGCGAACGGCCGGCAGCGAAAGGAACGGAAGGCGAGCGGGGAAGGCGAGCCGCTCGCCTTGACCCAGAAGTCTTTCCTTTTACCAAATCTGATCATCTGTACCTTCCTCCTGCCTCTCATGGCACCAACACGAAACATACAACGTAGGATATATTGTGGCTTTCATGAATAAGACCGGTTCCGATTCTCTCATTCCAAGAGAGGCAACGTCGTAGCGACGCCTATCGCACAAAACAAACGACAGAGTTGGACATGACTAGTGACGACGCAGCTTCCATAACTCATAGAAGGTGGGACTAAGCACCAGTCGGACGAATAATTGTCCAACTCGTCTCCTTTCGGGTTTCCATCACCATTCCAGGCACCCAATTCTTGCTGTGCACGAAAATCGCCTTTGTCCCCGTGGCACACGACAGTCCGGCGCTTGCGCTGCCTTGCTGCCCACCTCTTCCATGGCGCTTCGCAGAGCCTGAGAAACCCAAAGCGCACTTCTTGGACTATGAAATAAAATCCGGGGGCGTGAGGTGAACCAAGAGGAGAAAGACACGGAATCCTTGCTTGGAGGATGACGCAAATTAGTCTTTTGAGGTGAAGAAAGTGAAGCGCTGATTGAAGGAAATGGGCAAACTTTGGACAAAAGGGCTGGCAGTCTTGCCTGCGCGAGCCTTGCCCGCTTCTAGATGAAAATGCATCTCAATTTACTCGATGGCTTCTCCTCCCCAAACCACTGGTAACCTGACAAGGAGGACAGCATCGACGTTCTTATCAAGCATAAAACACCTGGACCACCAAGGGTATCCCTATTTCTGATGTTCTATTCACCCCATAATTATGATATACAGCATACAGCCTCTGTTAGTCTGAAGAGAATCTTGCACATGACTTTAGTCCAGCTGAGGTCAAAGCTTGGTCCAGCTCCGATGGCATCTGCAAAGCGTTCACATAGACCTGACAGTCAAGAATGGTCAAGGCACGTCTCGGCTCGCTTCCTTTTCTGCCCCTGCCCCCGCAAATCCCACCCTTAAAACCTGCTGGATAACTCTGACACTACATTTTTGCTTGGACTCACTAAACACATCCTTCCCAGAAAAACCTCACGGCTCGAAGACGCGCCAAGCAGTGCTTTCCCCACCCGGCGACGGCGCTCGCTGCCTGGGCCTCCTGGAAGATGGTCTTGGCATCCTGCGCAAGCCGAGGCGGCGCAGCCCAACGTGAGAAGTGTTGCGAAGCAACACGCATGGGAAAGCGGGCCACTTCTCATTCTTGGGAGAACGGGTCATGTTGGTTGGGGAATGCAAGAACTCGGGAGAAGCCCGAGTTATGGCCAGTTCAACTGGCAAGTGCAAGATGTGCAGCCGCTTCCTGCGCAGGCCCGAAGCTCAAAAATTCCTCGTTCCAAGCCGTGCAGGTCAAATCTCTTCACTTGGGTCTCTCTCTCTCTAAAGAACCCCCAAAGTTTGCCTTCCGTGTTCCAGTTGCTTTCCCTCAAGCGCCAAAGAAAAAAAACAAGGCGCCAACCGAAAAACGCGAGCCACGCGTATTTCCCCCCCCAACCGCATCCCGATCAAACCCCACCCCCGGACTCGACTCGTCGCCTCGTTGCTACTGGTGGGCTGCAGCTGGGCCAGGCACGCCTCCAGCTTCGAGAGCCACTCCTGACGGTCCAAATCCCGTTCCGGCGGTCGGTGGAGGGTGGCGAAACCCATGGGACGCCATGCAGAAGCCAGGGGAAACCTGTAAGGAAAACCAGGTTTTAACCGCTGGTCGTGGACGTTTATTTAAAAAAAAGAAGAAAGAATCATCTTAGGTGTGCGTTCTTGGTTTTGGGGGGCATGCGAGGCAAGGGAAGGATCTACGGTGGTTGAGACATCCAAAAGCAAGGCAACGCAAGGGTTTCTGATTTGATGCCTCAACGTAAATACCAACTGCTATGGGTTCATTCCCATGGTTTCATTTCGCGGTGCGAAATGGATTTCGCAACCATCCACAGTAGGAGTTCACCACGATTTCTACGGGTGAAATGCTGCTTCGCACATCATGGAGGGCAACCGGCTTGGGCAAAACAAGAAATTGAGGGACATTCGTGGGTCAATGAAAGAAAGAACATCTGGCACTTTCGCGCAATCATGCGGGGGGGGGGGTACATTCGCTGAGAGAGGTGTCAAGGGACATTGGGATGGAACATCAACAAAAAAACGTATCAATGTTCATGATGGCATCCAGCCAATCAACAAACACACTCCGAACCAAACAGGGGTAGCTGTTAGCCGTTGATTGGAGGACTTTTGTGACAAAGAAAAAATCCTTGAATGGGGGCCGGTTGCTTTAGACTTGTCACGGTGCCACTTGGTCTGACAAATCTGAGGGTGAGTGGTCATGGCAAACATGCTCACTGTCAACTCGAAATTACTTGAAATCCAGCCTTGTGCCGTCAAGTTGCCATCCCTTTTCTGGTGGCTTGCCATATCTAAGCCAATGATCGCGATTTCAATCAGAACATCCTTGTTCAGGCTTTGTTGTTGAAGTTTAACTTAACAGATCTGACACGCTCTGCGCTCCAAAAGGGATGATGGTGGCTGGAATTGCATCATGGGACATCCGGTTTGGCCAAAACCTGAGCCCACTCTTTTCGTTCGCGAGCCCTTCTTCCGGCTGAATATCTCTGGCAGAGCTATGGATCTGCGGAAAAAAGAAAAATAAAAAGACAAAAAGCAAGCTGAAAAGGGATGTGCCAGGTGCATGGCAGCGTCACGTCATAAAACGCACCACAATTCCATGATTTCCAAACATGAACGGCCTGACCCCCTCCACAAAGCGCGCTGCCACGGGATCAACACTGCTTTGCCGGTCGTAGAAGGGTGGTGGGTCGAAAGTGCGAGAGGGTTTCGGGCTCGGGGTGTAGAGTTGCTGGGGCTTAGTGTTGGTTGGGGTTTTAGCTTTGTTGGGGCTTGAGATTGCTTAAGCCAAGGAGGGTTTAGACATTTCTACTGCGTTGGGGTTCCATCCCTTACTCACCCTGTTCTTGTCGCCGTCCTTGGCATTTTCTCTGCTCGTCAACGCCTTCTGCATCGAGCCGTACGGCATCGCCTGCAAGTCGATGTTGACATTGTGGCTATGCCTCTCTCCCTTTTTTCTTGTGCAGTGAATGGCATACCCCTGTGCATACGGGGAAATCCTTGTTGGTTGAACACTGATGCAAACATAAACCAAGCGTTTAGAGGAGTCCTTACTTCGTGATAAACCAAACCCGCACGACCTTTACAAACATGGGTCAAAGCGCCCCGCCACTGCTTGGGGCGTCAGGATATCCTTCGGCAGCTGCGGCTTTAGCCTCAGCGTTCCCGCGGCTGTAACTATGGTCGAAGGTGAAGTGATGGCTCCCGCTTACACATATATAATCTGGGAGTAAACCGTACTCATGCTTATACCGCATGTCATCCATTCATCCACTCTGGTGGTGTTGATGATGATGGTGGTGATGATGACGGTTGTGGCAGTGGTGGTGACCTTGATGATGACCACGGCCCTGGCCCACTGATAAAATGCAATCTGCTAATGATGGGATACATTCCAACTCCTATAAACTATCCAAATCGTGCAAGTCAACCCAGCGCAACTTCCGGCCACCCGCTGGAAAATACATGTTCAATACCTGCAACATGCAAGGCATCAGCTGCACGGAATGTTGGCCACCCCGCAAGCGAAACACGCTGCAGCGGCTCGCATCAACGGCTCGAACCAGCCCACAGCGTCAGCAGAATGAGGCCCCCACAGCGCCAGATTTAGGCTCTTGCTACCCACCTGGCCAGGGCAACACGGAAACTTGGGGCGTCCGAAGCGGTGGTAGGGTCGGAACACAAACCGCACACATCCGCACACCATCGAAAAAAAAGATGAAGATTCTCGCTTCCGGGCTGCAACAAGGGGCAACGGGTTGCCTCCATGGCCACACGGAAGACACCTGGGTGTGGGTCAAAATTAAAGCACCAAGGGACCACAGGTTTTACTCTTTGGTTCTATAGGGTTCCATTTTGGGTACCCATTTTTGACCCGCGGCCACTTCGAATCTTCCGCTCCCGAGCCATTCTCCGCCCCTCTCACCATACCTTCGACACCCGCGCCTTCGATTTGTCCATCTTCTCAGGCGTGACGACCCTCAGCCGACGCCCATGCACTTTGACTATCCGCAGCGATTTTGAGTCAGCCCAGACCATTGGCAAGTCTCAGAGCCGCACCATTTGCACCCAAAGTCTTCCTTTAGGTTCATGTTCACGAGCTTGGTTGAGTCTGGCGTTGGTGAAGCATAGGGTGCTCGTTCCTTGTTCCAAACAATAATTAACTGACCCCGTGGCATCCGTGTTCCGCAAACATGCGCAAAATGCTTTTAGACCCTTCATTCCTTCTCTCCACACAAGTCTCAAAACACAAATAATCATTAAAGCAACTGGCAACTTGAGCATTCGCGCGCGCCTGTTTCTTTGGACATCAGCTCCTGAATCAGCGACTCCGCTGTTGGCTTCCGTGATGCCCATCACTTCCAACTTTCCCATGTCTTGGATTTGATCGGGATAGCTCCCGCCAAAGCCAACCAGTTCCAAGCTAGAATGAGCTTCGACATGCTGATGCAACAGGCTACACCTGGCCCACAGTTCAGTCCTGGGTGAGGTCGCGGCTGGCACTTCTGGCCATCCTTGGAACGCAATTGGACTTCGCCCTCTGTGAAGATTTTACTCAAGTCAAGCCCTTGCAGCACTTGGATGTGCACGTGTTTCAGCCGTGCCGGCCAAGCAAAGAAGACCCATTCAAAAATACCAAGAAGTGCATTTTCGTATTGCTTCTGCTTTTCAACAAACCCGCTGGCAAGTGAATGCTGCGCCCGTGGTGGACGATACTGTGCCTCATGTTCCCTCCTTGTCAAGGCTCTAGAACTGAACTCTGACTGTGCAACCTCCATTCCTAGGGAGCATCAACCTTGCTTCGAAGCACGGTATTTTGTGGTGGGCATGTACTCGAGGCAAGCGAAATCACCGCCAGATCCAGTATTGCTTGATTCCTTCTGTTTGCAAGTTGCTCGACTACGCAGTGTTGGGCATTGCATTGATGCGCAAGAAAATGCAGCGCAAGAAAATGCATGAGAAAATCCGTGGTGCGAAATGTCCCAAAAATAATATATTTTTGCACACAATGAAGGTCCTAGGTAAGCATAATCCAAAGACTCCGTGAATCAAAACCTCCGAGCCCGGGACATGCGCATGCGCTTGGGGTCCGCCATCGGGCGCTCAGCCGCCTAGCGCGAAACAAAGACAGCACTCCAACGGACAAGTTCAGATGCAATGAAGATCTTTGATAGCGCAATGCGGGCGCGAAATACCTGTGTATACAACAAATGCATATATATATATATGTATACATATATATAGTTATGTATATATATATAGTTATGTATATTGGTTGCCACGGCCTCTTGCCATTCTCCAACTGCGCGTCGAACGCGCGCGCGAAATGTAACCAGCAAGCCATCTCGCCTTGATTTCCACGGAGCCGTCCGCAGAGCAAACCACCTGCCAGAGACAAATGAGGGCATGGGTCAAAATCCAAATCGTACCAGTGAACATCCGATTCCATCCAACCACTAAAATAATTAGGTTCCAAAATGGGTGGTGCATTCACCTACCCCAAAATGGGATCCCGTTGCTTTTGACCCACAGCCACAAGGGCTGTGTGTGCCTTTGGCAACTTTCAGACGAAAACTCTCGCAGCTTGGGATGGACCATGTACCCGGCGCAAACTGTAACAACGGCCCTCACGGAGGAGACGGTTCCACACCTTGTGTCCGCATAAAAGGCATAAATATGCTCCCTCATAGCTTCAAGAAAGAAACAACTGAAAAGGATGGTTTGCAAAGGTGACACAATCCATCCCAAACGCAATAATTCATGTCTCGAACTTAAAGAGCTAGGTACAATTTGGACTCTCCAAAAGTGAGGCACACAGAGCCCAGCCTCAACATGCCCACCGTGTGAGGAACTCCCCATTTCAGCTTGGATTTGGTTTTGGAACGTATTTGGAGTCTACCACCGCTATATCACGCGCGCGCCAGCCACCCAAGGACAAGATGACAAGGTGCAAATCTGCGGCACATCCAGCTGTACTTGGTCAGGCTTGAACCCCTGCTAAGAAAAATGGCTGAGAAGGAAAATGAAGGGACGCCCAGGCCGAGAGGGGCAAACAAGTTAGTTGAGTTTGGCAATGCAGATCCATCAGGGCCGCAGCCCGTTCAGTCAACCGCCTTTTCTGACGTCTGGCAGCTCGCGCCTGAACCCATTGCCCCAAGAGCTCCGCTTCGATTTTTTCGGTGAGGGTGGAGTCGTAGCAGGACGCCAGGAGCACCTGGCCACGCTCAGCTCGACAACGCCAAAATAAGCAGGGGCGACATGTTCTCATACTCTGGTCCTATCAGTATGACATAGTATGACATTATGTTTTGAGTTTGTTTGCAATTGCCCTACAACCTCATTCTAGTGGTCTGAACAAGCAAGTATTACTTCAAAACAATGAGGCTATCAATATATTTGTGCTTTGACTTTGTTTGCAATTGCCCTACAACCCCATTCTAGTGTCTGAACCCCAGCTGAGCACATATTTTTTTTTTGGTCAACACCCGTGACGTATCAAACGCCGACGCAAATACATGCGGGATGTATGTCAGCCTTCAAACACCTATGCGCGCCTACGCGGTTAGAGTTGGGCTCTCCAAGTCCCTACGCTGTGTCTGTGGGCGTTTCGTGCTAAAATTCGTACGCGCGCCTTACGGGCAAACTGTCAAGTCGTTGGCCGCGGTGCCTACGCGAGCTCCCCAGCCGACTGTGAAAAAGTGGCGACGTAGGCCGCCTGCGCGCGCGCAGTAGTGGGCCTACGCGGAGCCGAGCCTGAGATGTCCACTCTCTTTTGTTCCTATACTACCGTAAAATATCTCTGCTCAGCTGCAGCTCGTCTTCGCCTCTTCAGGTGAAGGTCACCCTGTCTTTAGTCGATCATCTGTTGAGCTACAGCTCTTCTATACATCTTCTTGCCCTCGCATCTTTGAGCACCGCAACACACCAAGGCACCACGAAAAACTTCGAGAAGTTGAACCAAAGGCCTGCAAGGACCGGAAGCCATTCCAAACTCTAAATGTGCTTCCGCATCTTGACAAATATTGTCACGATGAAACAATCTCAAACCTCGCACGGACGCTTCACATGTCAAATTGTGCCTTGCTGCGACAGCACGACCACATGCGGATTGCAACTAGGCCTGCAACCAAAGCTGACTGCTGTGACACACTTCCATTCCAAATGTAGAATCCCAAATGTAGAAACATGTCGCGATCTGATGCAGCCTGATTGGGAGATGCTGGTGCAACAACCCTGTACCACGCGTGAACTTGTCTGGTTGGGGTGGGCCCCTCCCAGTAGTATCCCAAGCCATCCAAGAGTTCCCTTTCAACCAAGATGACAACAAACAAACCTAGAAACAAACCAACAGACAAACCAACAAACAAACCTACAAAAAATACAACAAACAAACCAACAAACAAACCAACAAGCAACCAACAAACAAACCAACTAACAAACCTACAAAAATACAACAAACAAACTAACAAACAAACCAACAAGCAAACAACAAACAAACCAACTAACAAACCTACAAAAAGACAACAGACAAACCAACAAACAAGCCAACAAACAAACAACAAACACACCTACACAAAATACAACAGACAAACCAAAAAACCAACCAACAAACAAACATACAAAAAAACAACATACAAGCCAACAAACAATCCAACGAACAAACTACAACAGACAAACCAAAATATAACAGACAAACCAACAAAATTACACCAGCCTTGACCCCAAACAGCCAAAACACATGACAGGTCTGTATAACCCAAAAAAAGCCTGTCTCCTTCATGTAAGGTGCGCTGCGTAGCTTCTGTGAGCAACACGTAGTTACAATCAGTCCAGTGGGAGAATCTGACTGCAGAGACTGGGAGACAAGCGGGAGACACGACCCAGCATGTGCCAGAGCCAGCGTCTCAGCTGGCAGCTCACCGCAGAGACTGGGCCGGAGCCGGCGTCACAGCATCTGGCATCTGACCGCAGAGACCGGGAGACACGGGGAGACAAGCGGGAGACACGACCCTGGAGCCAGCGTCACAGCATCTGGCATCTGACCGGAGAGACTGGGAGACAGGAAGACAAGCGGAAAACAGGACCCCGGAACCGGCGTCACACTTTCCCATTCTCTATACCTCAAGTTAGAACCCCAATGCTTCGCTGTTTGGGAAAAACAACAGACAAACCAACGAACAAACAAACAAACAAACCTACAAAAAACAACAGACAAACCAACAAACAAACCTACAAAAACAACACAACAAACAAACCAACGAACAATACAATACAAAAAGAAACACAAAAACACAAACCCGCCAAACTCGCCGGCGCTGCCCCGGAGTTCCGCGCGCGCACCGCGCAGTGGCTGAGGATGTCTGGTGCGGACTTGGCGTCTCGGACCAGCACCGCCTGGGGCGAGCCGTTGGAAGCCTCGAACCTCAGCCCTAGGGCTCCCCCCTACACCCAATACCCACTTTCAGGGAATGTCGGCCCACTAAAAAAGGAGGTATTTACCATGGAAACCCAGGTTGTTCAAAAAATAGCCTGGAAAAGGTGGGTATCTGGAGTAGGGGGAATGCTTGACTCAATTTGCTTGACAACAATCCTTAGGTAAACAATGGCGGTTATCTCAACCCCCCATGGTTTTCATGGTGGTTTGAACCCAAAGGGTCACTGCGTCGCCTTTTGGAAGACCCACCCTATCACCCTATGTTGGGACACGTGTTTGCCATGAGGCTGGTGGTTGCCTCTATTTCTGCCACTAAGGCGAAACCTCGCCTAACAAGGACCCCTCTCGGCCTGAATGGATAGAAGGGAACATGGCAGCGAGCGCAACAAAGAGCTGACGTCATGAACGGCATGATCAAGTCATCAAGCGCAACACTGCATGAGTGCATACCTTATAGGATTACTTCAAGACAGGCATTGGCCGTAAGCAAATCACAGTACTACTGACAGACTTTTTGATAGACCCTGTCAGTAACATGTTTAATCCAGTCATGCATGTTCACACATGATGCGTGACGCATACACATACACATACTAAGCTTGCAGCTGCAAATGGGAAAACGATGCAATGCTTTCCTCGCCTGCACGCCCACTGGAACTTCCTCCTCACCACTGACGAGGCCACTGAGCATAATTGTGGGCGTCTCGAAGATCTTGTCCTGCAAGAATCGGTAGCTGTAAGTGAGGGTGTGAATCTAAATTTGGGACCCTACTCTGGACATCATTTACATTGGGATTCGCCATCATGAGGTGGTTCCCCCGCCCTTCCGTTTCCGTGGTCGGAAGCGGTTGGAAGGACGGCTGGATCCCGAAATGGCCAGATGAATCTCAGTCTTTCCATTCACCTGTATGGTACAAAGTACTCAAAGTACCAAGATAAATGTCTGGCTGGTTCAAGGGTGTTTCAGCTTTGACAGCGCTTGCTGTGTGGCCATGAACCTATTACTGTATGACTCATAACTCTTGTCATACGTTTTTTCTTGAGGATCGATATCTTTTGTTGCTGTTAGGGAGGCCCGTTTTGGGGTCCGGATTGCCTTTGGAAACTACCGCCTTTGTAATGTATAGTGTCAGGTCAAGCTGAACTCTTTCTTCGAGTTCCCTCGGAAGCTGGACCTAAGCCAGTTCGCTCCAGATGGAGGCAGGTGAAGACTGTGTGGCTTGCAAAAACCGGTTCGAATCGGGGCCTTGGATCCGTATTTCCGTTTGTTGAGTTCTGGTCATGGACCTTCAGGGTGGTGGGGGCTATCCCTGGATAAGCCAAGGATAAGCCTAAGGCCTCATGAAGGGTCCAACAGCCCATAGACCTGTCTTTCGCATGGCCTGCTTGGAGGTGCATGATGTGCGATGTTCACCCAATGCTGGGCTCTTGTTTGAGATTCGTTTGAATTTAGTATTCACGAAATATGAACCGGAATTGAAGCATATTGTTTTGGGCGGGAGGCACGGATTCAGTTGTGCACGCCTATAGCCATTTGAAGGAAGCCTCTTATATATTGGGAACCCAGGAAAATAGGTCAAGGGACCGCAATCGGATTCTCATAAACAGGTTCCGCAAAGAAAAGTAATGTGCAGCATCCTAGAACCTTAGTTGTTAGAAACGAAGGGTCACCCAAATAGGGGGGGCAACCCCAAGGTGAGCAACTGGCTCAAGAAGAATTATGGACTGATCTGCGTGAGAGGGCAGCGCATACTTTTACTGATCTGGGTGCTCCCATGAACCAGCTCCTGAAGGCGCACCCATTTCAGTAGCCTGCCCCAGTTTTCTAAGATGCTGGCAAACGATGTCTTTGTGGAAGAACGGCGTTTCCTAAAGGATCACAGTACTGGTTTGCCCAAGAAGCTCACTGTTTGCTGGGTTTGTCAAAGTTGGCATTCTTTGGGGCAAGGGTTCTCAGAATCAACTATTTGCTGGGCGGATGTCGTGTTTGACCACCAGCATGACTTTTCGAGCGAAAGCTCTTTCTTTCCAACACGCCAAGCTTCTTTAAACCACCAGGCCCTGGCCTTTCTTCTTAGAGCAACCCAAAAAGAGGTTGAAACAACGGCAGAAGCTGCTGTTGAGCATCTTGAACCAATCCGTTGTTTTTTTTCTTCTCCGAGCGGCCAGGCAGGTATGACCTCTTCGCTGTGGTGGTCCACAACGGGGACGTCAACAGCGGGCATGGGGCCTCGGAAAAGGAAGACGCGCGGAGCGGGGAGAGCCGGGGACCGCGGGCCATGACTACATGGGTATGGGCCGAAACTCGGGTCCTCCCAAAAAACGGTGGGTTGTCAATATTGGTTTCTCTTTAAACACACCCCAAAATGGTACACCCTGAAATAAAACACACGCACACATGACACACGCGCGCGCAGACACATATTGCCTTTTCGCAACACAAGAGAAAACTCTTTCCTGGCCCAACAGGTGCTGAAAGCCATGTTCCTTCGAATAAGTAGAATTGACAAAGTATCATCCGGATAATCCTTGTCATGAACTGGATGGGAACCATGTTAAGAGGAACTAGTCACGCCTCTCAGCCCGAGGTGTGTCATGTGCCGAGGGGGGCATTGCTGAGGCATTACTACGCCCATATCCAGCCCGATTTGGAGCGCGGATGGCTGCACTGGCTTGTGGCTTGTGGCTTGTGACAATGGCAATGTGGTGCCACAGTTGGGGTAACGTCCAACCATTCTGAACCCTTTCTAAACCACCAGAAACTCACCGATTTCTGCTGATTTTAGATAGGATGTTTGAAGCAAATGGATTGGACATCCGCAGCAAGCGGCAAAACATCTCCAAAGAGACCCCCCTGTTTCTGGGTCGCTGAAAGTGGAGTCTTCTGTTTGCGCCTTTCTGCTTTTGTGAGACTCTCCTCCGAATGGATCGACACTGTAAAAGCTTGGGATCGACCCTTGTCCAAGTGGTTGGTTTCCACACCGATGTAGAGCTTTTTCTCGGTCCTTGGAAGATTTGCGTTTTCCCTTTTGGTGGGTCGTTATTTAAGAGTTCCCTTTTGGTGGGTCAATTGTTGATGTACACGCCCATCATGGCTAATGAGCCCCCAAGAGTGTTAACAGCTCGTGTGTTTTTCACATCTCTAGAGTGACTCGTACTCCTGGGTCCATTCAAGTGAGCGTCTTTTGGCGAAGGGTTCTTAACAGGTCTGTTGCGGCAACCACCCCCGGGTTTCAGGTGGTGGGGACATGAACTTAGTCCAGCCCGATCGATGGACTCAGCATAGGTTGTTGCGACCATCTCGCAGCAAAACGGGTACTTCCATGACACACACACACACCATGACAGGTTCAAATTTGATGACGAGACCGTGACGCCTTGCAGCGAGTATGCCGCCATTGAGGACAACTATGGCGGTCCCTCGGCAACATTGGCGAAACTCGCGAAACGGGTGTAACTTTTTTGGGAGGATTCCTTTGATGATTGGTTTGAAAGGGAAGCCAAAAGGAAATCCTCCATGTTGGGGCGGGGTCCCCTAAACAAAGACACGCCCAACTAGGTGTGTCTTTGAAAAAGGGGACTTTTAAGCCAAGCCCAAAAACGGTACCTTCCTGTCCACGCGGAACTAGAGGGTCCCACACCTAGGAACAGCCCAGCCCCCCCGGAATCCTGTGAGGTTCCATGTTAGCGGGTACGAGGTGAGTCGGCATCAAAGCCGGGCAATTGGAGGGTAGGGACAATCCCCACCAAAATTCGGTGCGGCCGCCTTCGCAGCTCTTCACATTGGTTTAGGTCATTTTATCACCGGATTTTGATTGTGACGCAGGTGTTCTTTCCCCCGACCGGGCCCCCCCCCCCAAGCACGGTATTTCTAGATCCAGACATGTGGAAGACCCCAGGTTTCTTTCTTGGTGCCTCTGGCTAGTGAATCCCTTCAGCTTGGTGAAGATTTCATCCAGGTTTGAGAGTGTCCGAATAGATGCAAAGACCCAGGCTCCGCACAGGGTTAAGCCGTGGTTACGGCTTCCTTACGACCCGAGAAGGGCCGCTTATTTTGAGAACCCGCGGTTGGGAATTTCCGTAAGTTACAGACGCTCAATGATGGTCATTGAAGGATTCCTCTGCATCCTGCTCTGGGTAATTCCGAAAGTTAGGTGGTGGCACCAGGACATTGTAGTAGGCCCATCCAAGACGCCTCCGGAAAAGTTTGGAAGTTGGGTTAAAAATGAACAACTACGGTCAAGATCCAAGTGTTCCCTTCATGCAGATTCTTGTTGAAGCCATGCTTTCAAATCCGCCATCCAACCGAGTTGTTGGACCCCCACGTCCCAGTTGCCCAGGGTGCCTCATGTTGTTCCACTTTTTTGGGGAAGGGTTTCCCTTGGACTTCAAGCAACAAAAAAGGGCCGCCACTGGGTTCTAGACAGTCCCCAGAGTTTCTTTTCGCCTCACTGACTCACGCGCCCCACCCTTGTCACCTCCGCACGAGGCAGCGACTTGGCGGTTTGGAACTACTTTGACCGCAGCCCTCAGGAGTTGCGAATCCCTCAGCGGGGAAGGGTGCAACCCCAATGTCCATGGTCTCCAAACTTACGATTCAGGGACCACCCCCTTTACCCAGGTAACAACCAGGGGAACAACCCCTTACCTGGGGTATCCTCCAAACTTTTTACTTTTTTCTCTTTTTTAACAGGGTAGACTAAATCTGGAGCAGGCCTGAACAAATATCATTTTTGGTGTGCAACAGAGTTGGGCCAATATGTTTTGTCCATGGTCAAGGCGCCTTTTTTGGTTGGTTACTGGTGATGGTGACGAACTGTTTGCTAGACTTTTCCGCAACAAACATTAGGGTTCTTGTCTAAGGGAGACATGCTCATGCATGACACGGGCAGTTTTGACCATGTTACAAGTTCCGTTTGAACCCCTGCTAGTTGAATGTGAGTTAGGGTCGATAAGCTGTGTTGAACAACGTGTTTGTTCATCCCGATTCATTCCTGCGTCTTTCCTGAGAGAGCAGGTGGAGACTATTCTTGCATATTCTTGAAAACACGTTGGTAGGAGTCGAGGAAGGTTTGCGGAAGGGTATGCCTCGCAGGAGCTTTGCGGAAGGCATGTGTTAGCTGACATAAGGCCACAAACAAGCAAACCTGTGGCCGTGGAAGCAGCAGTAACCAACATATGCCCGCAGAAGCTTGCAAACGCTGTTGCAGCAGAATCATGCTCCACAACTCACGCCGCGGAAGCTTCGCGGAAGGGTCGGGGGAAGGTTGAATAATGTCATATATGACAAACGACAGAACACAACACAGTGCTCAGCACTAATCACTGCAGGTGTAATAGACTCACTAGTGTTGCACGGCATGACCACATTCATAGATTCCGTCTTGTGAATTTCGGCCTGCCCTCCCTCTGAGCCCACTAAATGTGGAGCCATGAGGCGCCACACGAGCCCCAGCACGCGGCCACGCATGAACAATGCGTGCGCCATGGACGCCGTGTTGAGTTTGCTTGTTTATTTGTTTGCCGTGGGTCTCAAGGTGGGCTCCCAGTTTGGGTTGCGGGGTTGCTCCGAACCCCAAAATCATGGCCACGTGACCAACCACCTTTTGGTCCACAAACCAAAACACTTGTCAACTACTTTATGCCTCCCTGGAACAATCGTGGAAGCAGAAGGGGGGCTGGCCAGAAGACAAGGGCACCCCCTCAAGTGTTGTTTCACAATAACTATCCTTAAATCATGGTCTAGCAATGTGTGACCATGGGCGTGCAGGGCACCCTTTGCAAAAGGCACCAACCTGGCACTGACAGAACAGATGGGGAACCCCTTTTTTTCACGACGGTGTCCTTGTGGTTTCTCTGCAACATTCAACAAAAGGCGGCGTCAAAGTGGTTTGCCGACTAGCATCCTGTCAGCTTTCATTGGACGGAATCCTTACTTGAGCCAGTTGGTGGCCTGCGTGTCGAAAGAGTTTGGGCCTGCAGCGGCCTGCACTCTAACCAATCTTCGGAGTTGGCCGAAAGGTTTGCGGGGGGTTAGCCCAGTGCGCCATCTATGGGCTTGCCCTCGAATCGCCAAAAGCTGGCTCAGTCTTGAAGGTGAAGGAGCCGGTGTGTGTCCGGTAAACGCATGTGCGATGGTTGGCTTGACGTTTGATCCAGACCACCCGGGCCAAAGGCAGGTGTGTCCCTTGAATCGCGCTGACAAAATGGCCCTCAGCTGGCTGGTTCTTAGGGAGCAAATGAGCAGGTATGTTACCACAAAACAACCAGCAAACGGGAGATTTGCATTCACCTCACAGTTGCTTTCTGATTCCGCCATATCTCAAACTGTGGAGTGGTCTGCTTTAAGCAAAGCGACTGGAGGTACATGCTGATGTACATCAGAGAGGCGGATGCCGGCACTACCTTCAAGCAGCGAAGCTCGTTCACAGTACCAATTCTGAATTCCCCCAAAAAATGTCAGAATGCGATAGGATCGTGTCAAGCTGAGGTACATGTTGTTTGTTTACAACTGCAACTGAACTTTGTCCATGCTGTTTGCACTTCAATGCAGCGCTTTATACTGCAGAGTTGGCTTCTATGCGACAGGGATCAATCCCAGGTCCTGCAAGTTCCGTATAATGTGTCCACCTGCAGCTTCTGGATGGAGCAAGGCAGAAAAGTGCTTTTGTTTCATTGCAAGCTTCCCGATTGAGTTCTTGCTAAACGCCTCCAGCGTAGCTTTGTCTCCATTGGGGGGGGGCTAAAATGGAGGCAGTCTCCCTTTAAATCCCATTTGAGCCAACCCCAAACATAGGTGGCTTCTCTTAGAAAGCCGACTCCGAAAAGGCAGTTTCCTTAACAAAAAGGTTTTTTCTTTGAAGAAATCCATTTCTGGCAAAAAAAAGGAGTTCTCTTCAATTGGGGAATGTCGCTTTAAGCCAACTTCAAGAGGAATGCGGTTCCCTTCAAGAGGAGTCTCCCCTTTCAACCGATTCCAACACGGGGTCTCCCTTCAAAAGCAAGGGGACATCGATTTTCGAAACGGCAGGACCAGCGACAGCAGATCTTGAAGCCTCCAGATCCCAAGGAGCCGAAAGCGAGCGAGAGGTGAGCATTAATAAGAACCGAGAACAGATTTGGGCAAATGAAGGTGAGTAAGGAATAATCCCAGCCATCAATGGGTGCAGCCGCCTTTTTGTTGCTTTTGTTTACATGGTTCTGGATAGACCATTTCCATACCAGGTGTTGATTATGACTCGGGTGGAGGGTACAAAAAACAAAACGATGCCCGGCTTCAGCTCTGAGGAGGTGAACCCCAGGATGGTGGCGCGCTGCGACCGGGAGGCGCCGCAAGAAGCCTTCCGGCCAAGCTGTGTGTCAAACCGAGCTCCTTTATGGCTGTGGGGCAAAACCAATGGGATCCCATTTCGGGGTAGGTGAATTCACCACCCATTTTAGAACCTATTTTAGTGGGGATTGGTTGATGTTCACTGGGGGCTAACCGGGATTTCGACCCAGAGCCATATGTGGGTATGTATATTTATTTGGGACATTTTGGTGGACGCAATTTAGTTGTTGTTGTTTTTTTATCCACCAACCACTTTTGAAGGGGTGCCCGTGAAACGTATAGTGATGCGAAAACTTCTCAAACTGGGATTCGACCCCCTGCCAATCATAAGGCTCGGTTCGTTTTTTTCAGACCCATATGTCCCCCTTGAACATCATCAGTGATGCTTCAACGGGCTGAGAAGAGAAATGTTGGGAACTTCTACAACTTCTTTCAGACTTCCGGTGCTGCTCTTTCCTTTCCCTTTTAAAGTCGCCTACCCACAGACAGTTGCCCTTGTTTTCTTGGCTGGAGGTCCATCCCAACTCCAGCATGGCACAGGGGGTCTCAACATGGCGCTTGCCCCCTGTCGCTGTGTGCTGGGAGTCGAAACAGCAAAGTTTTGGGGCGGGACCAGCCGCTGTGTACACAAGCCGATCAGGACCAAACAAGAGATGGAGAGAGGTGGCTGGGGAACGCCAATTTGTCAATACTGATTAGGAACTGGGGGCCATTTGGGTCTATCTCAGATCTAGGGACCCATCCAAGCGGTTGATCTCCGGTGATTTCCATGCGGCAACCGTCCAAATGAATTTCTCCATTTTGAGAGGTAGCCATTTGCGTTCTGGTAGTTACCTGCCCAGAGGGGCCAGCTGAGCAAAAGGGGGTCAAAAGCCACACCCTGACCGGTAAAACCTGAGTTGTTCAGTGACCCTCATCCCATTTTGCTTAGGCTTCCCGCCAAATCGGGCACGCCCTGGGGAAAAAAAATAGAAACGGTGTCTACCGTTTGGGTCACTTAACGACGGACCATGCGATTCGTCTGAGTCGGGTTCCAAGAAGTCGATGCTCAGGTGAGGCTCGCAGAACAACGCCGGAGGGAGAAGGTGGAACAGCAGACGGAGATCAAGACCGGGGTGCCCAACGGAATTCGAAAAAAATATGAGTGCTTTGCACACTGCCCATAGTCAAACCACAGTTAAGGTGGGTAGGTCGTGGACCCTTTAAGAGGGATGGTAAAGACTGGGCTGCCATTCGAGTGCTTGGACCCTCAATGGCATGGAATGGGGTACAGGAACAATATGATCGAGTCGTTTCTTCAAGATGTTTCTGCGAAACGAGCCAAGCCAAGTTGAGCAGTCCATACTATAAAAGTGTGACATGGGGAGGAAATGGGGATGCGGGATCAAACTCCCATGTCAAGGACATCGTGGCTTATTTCACGTTCACATTCCGGTCTGATGCAAGTGCGACAGGTCGATGAAATAAATTGGGACAGTAGGCACTTCCGTGTCCGTCCCTCACTCCCTGAGTTGGACTTTATTCACTTGAGACCGACATACCCAGTTGAGTTCGGCGAAAACCCACCTTTTGCTGATTGGGAAAACTTGTCGGGAAACTATGGTCCCACCATTTGACACCTACCCCATTTGCAGGATCAAGCTGGTCATCGAGCTGGACATTTGCGGCATGAGTGGGTTTTGGGATCACACGCTGATTCAGCCAGGAGCCAAGCCCAGGATTTAACTCAACCCCCCCCCCCCCCCGCGAGGTCATGGACTTTAAACTTTCGGGGATGCCATTTTAGTGGCAAGCAAAATGTTTGGACGTTTCCTGTTCCACTCGAGATGTGAGGCTTTTTTGGAGGAATCTAGAGGGCGTTGAGGGGCGTTGGGATCCCTTTGCGCAGTCTTACAGCACGTCTTGATTTGGAGCGGACTTGTGATTTTCCATGCGAGGTTGGGTCAACATATCCAGTATAGTCTGTGTTTGTTTTGGGAGGGCATGGCCCTATGGTTTCTTACAAAAGCCAGGGGAGATAAAAGTCCTTTGCGGGGATGTGGCTCATGTAGCTCGAATTCTGACTTGGATGACCTTTGCAGGGTGCAGTTTCTCCTTCATTCCGGAAAACACCGCGACACCCTGCGGTGCGCTTTGCTCCTTGATCCGCAGGGGGTTTTCCTCTAAGCTACCAGAGGGCCCTTTTCTCCCATGGCACCCGGCCAAAGGTCAGCGCGACATAGCTGCAAGCCCTGAGATTTCAAGGAACCGATCTCGTCCCGCTCAGCTGCGATGTTAGCATCCGCATTCATCAAGCAATGCGAACAAGGATCTGGAGTTTCTGGAACGGTTGGGAGTTTTCTGCACATGTTCCAAGAATTGGGTAAGGCGAGAGTTTCGGAAAGGTGTTGAATGTCAGAAGTCAAAGGTTAAAAGCCTGTACCCCTGGTTCCCCTGTTTAGTTTGACCCTGCCAAGTCGGGGAAATGGTTGTGACATATTGGGACCGTTTGACTACCTACCTCTTGGTCCAAAAGGTCAGCGGGGCCGGCGGTTTGGGGCAGCTTTCAGGGAGGGTTCCAGGGGGTTCCAGGGTGTTTCAGGAGGTTTCGGGACTGGGCATACCACTTTGGGCTTGACACCTCGAGCCAAGGCCCAGATCCACGTACAAGATGGGCCGGGAGCAATTGGTCAAGGACCGACCTGGTCGCATGGGAGACTACCTGGACGTCCTTTCAGTTTGGTGCGAAAAAATCGGTGGATCGCACTGGTATCAGTTGGAGTTTGTGCTGGTGCCATCGGTTTGTCTTCCAAAAGGCTTGGGCTTGCCCCCCCCCCCAAGGGTATCTATCCTGGAAACAAACATGCTTTGACAAATTATCCTAAGGGTTGGTTTGCTAATTCTCTATTCTGAAGAGCAGGATCCCTGAACTCAATGGGGACGATAGGGACCTGCGTTTGGCTTTTTTTCAGTGTGCCCCTTTGGGGGCGTTGTTTATTTAAAAAAGCACCCACCATTTGGGGGATCCAGACAAACCCAAAAGGGGGTTCTGCTGGCCTGAGGACTTAATGGAAGATCTCAGCTCCAGCTCCGGGATCGACCCGACACCTGGCAGAACTGTGGGAGGGGGCGAAACCATCCGAAAACACCCCCTCTGCAGATCAACCTCAATGATGTTACTGGACCCGTCCACAAACCTGACTGACGGGTCCAGTGGTGGGTTCTATGTTGGTGGACGAGGTCTATTTTAGGGTACACTGAGTAGCAGCACCGGAAAAATGAAAAGCTGCACCAGGAACAAACAAGTGTTGGTGCACGTGGGAGTTGAAGAAACATGGAAGTGGTCCGACCCCTTTGCAAGACTGCTTTCCTGTTTGGGGGTTCAGTTCCATGTTGGGTGGGAAGGTAGCGCAAAGGAAGCACCAATCAAAACCAACGCGTTCAGACTTTTACCCAAAAAGGGGGTTGTAACCTATAATTAAAGGGCACCCAGCCCCTTCTGGGGGAATGAGGGAATGATCCCTAAGAACCATGTCTTAGAGTTTCCTTTATCCCAAAGGATAATTCCCTACTAGAACCATCAAGTTGATGCTTTCTCAAAAAAAGTCCCTGCCTGGTTACCTGAACCGTCATGTGTAGGAATCTCCTTTTGGGAGTCCATGCCAATTTGCAGGGGAGTCCTGGTAGCATCCTAGAACCTATTTGAATGATTCCATTCAGGGTCAGCCAAGAGCACCCCTGGTTTCGATAGTGAGGATCCCCACTTCAAAGGATGATGTTGAGCTGCAACCTTCCGGCTCATGTTGGTTGAATTGGATGGGTTCCACTGGTGGCTTGTCAAACATACCTAGATTGTTCCAAGCCAGTTGGAACAACGCAGCTATTCCTCCAGGGCTTCCATGTATCAAAGTTGGGGGACCTCAATTGGTCTAGGGCCCCAGTAGCCCAGGATTGCTCCTTGGGCCTTCCTTTGACAACCCATCTGAGAATTTTCCATGTGGACATGTTGCTTGCAGCATCAATCCGGATTTTGTGGTATCAAATTAGGTTTGCCTTTTCAGCAACTGTTTTCCGCCTTTGTGGCCAGGATGTTCATTGCTCTTCGGTCTTTGCCCTGGCGAGCACCCATTGAACTGCAATGGGTAAAGCTGGGATGGCTTGTTGGCATCAATCAAAAGTGGTAGGTCAAGTGCGCATGTACCTTCCCAGTGTTTTGTCGGGGAAGTATCTTCCATGATTCCCTTGGTGGTTTGAACAGACCTCAAATGGGTGTGTGTCTTTCTTTCCAGGGATCTGGGAGTTTCCTCCAAAACCTACTCCGCAGGAAGCTGGCAAGAGACCTGTGGATAGAACTTGAGTCCCCAGGACTCACATGGCGCTGTTCGTGCTCCAGTGCCCACAGTCGGACGCGCATGGGATTGTTTTCTGTCCGGCGCTCGACCCTCGCATCTCCGAAGAAATATTTTGCGTCAGATACAGGTGGAGGAATGGCGTGAAGCTGGCTTTTGGTGTACCTTCGAGTTGGGCCAAGTTATCTGTTTCATAGATGCCCCTTGTTCGACAAATTGGCGTCCCAACATCCCAGTCGGCTGCAGGAACGAACCAAACCAAGTTTTCATAGCGCCTGAGAAGCCCTCGAAAGTCGTCCAAAAGGGCCAGGAAGTTCCATGTCAGTTTCTGTAATATCTGGAATATGATCGGTATTTCGACTATTTCCATGGGGTTTCAAATTAAGCGACCACTTGAGGGGGTAACTTGGACAATAAGGTGAAAAACAAGTTCCATATCAGCCACTGTAGTATGTGTCTTACAACCCGCAGGATAGCACTTGAAGGGCACGACCCCCCCTTTTCAGGTCCCATTTGTCACGTGTCGTTGTTTTTTTTTAGGCTGAACGTTCTTCCCGAAACTTGACCTGGTTTCTTTCGGGCACCCGTTTGGGGTGACTTCAAATCGAGATTGCATGGACAAACTCTCTTTCTTTTTTTTTGGGGGGGGGAGGGGTCTGGCTTGATTGATTTGTGCAGGGTTTTGCAGGCAGGGCAGAGGGAAACCCGCCATGTCCTTCAAATGCGTGTCTGCCCCCTGATGCTATCTTCCACGGAAGCCAAAGTAAAGCCCAACAAAGCTTTGGGCCGGCCAAGAAGTAGCGTTTGGGGGGCGAAGTAATCAGAACGTACTCAGAGTTGGGCCAAGACTGGGATATTAAACTTGCTAAGTAAGGCATCGTCAAAATTGCGGGCCCTCTTCGGAGCTGGTGCTGCCTTGTGCCGCCTTGTAGAGGGGATACCAAAACAGAAGGCCCCGACTTTTGACAAACCTTCAAGCGCGTTGCCGTGGATACAAGTCAGCCTCCCCGTTTCTTTCGCCCTGAAGATCTTGGCTCAGGTACCGCAGCTCGGCACGGCAGATCCGATTCGGGTACATGCAGCCCAGCAGCGCCTTCAAGCCTTGGACCCCAGTAGCTTGAAGCAGAGCTGGCAGCTGGGCTTCGAATGAAGCAAATGGTGTGGTCTTCTCACTCCCTGAGTTCCTAGACTTTAGTCCCTTTTTTGGAGGACCGTTCTGGTGGCAAAGAAAAAGTTCAGACTTTGTTTGGCCCATCCGCTCAAGCGGACCCCTTGGGGACTTGGTTCCATTTACAGAGGCCTTCTGGGAGCTTCCATGTTAGTCAGAGAAAGTGTATATTGCAGATGGTGTCCAGTTTCATTGGGGTGTATCAAAGTCTGCGTGTTTGCGTGGTTCATTCTTCAAGTTTGGTCAACATCCATCCACAAGATCCTTGTGCGAGGAGATAGCAGAGGTGTCCCTATTTCTGGTGTTCGAATGACTGGACAAGTTGCTGACGCATGAAGGTTAATAGGGTTGGTAACGGGTAACGCGTGAATTCATCAGATGACCCAAGACTTGTTTCTGTTTGGTCCAATGAATTTCCCAGCGCTTCACCTGTGTTTGCATCAAAATAGGAGGCCCGCCTTTGGTTTCCCTTGTACTCCACCCCCAAAAGGTTCCCTCAAAAATAGAAACCCCCACCTGTTCTCCATCAGACAGATTTTGGATTAGCATGACGGATCCACCGATTTTGAACATCCCAATTGTTTTGTTTGTTTCCGGGAATTATCAAAGTCGGCAACTGGAATCTTCTTCCAAAATCAACCTACCACTTGCAGGTTGACTTTGGTCAAGTCAGTTATGGATGTGTCGGGGTTGGCCAATTGAGTGTATGAAGTTCTAACTACTGGTTTAGTGACGTTCTGTTGAATCGCACTTTTTTCCCGAAGCCCACTATTTCCCACCCAGTGCTGGAGTTTGCGACACTTGCACCCCCCCCCCCCCCCCGCCCGCCCGCAACCTGCGCGCAGGTTGCATATCCCGCAGTACGGGTCGCCCCACTTCGACGTGAGCGACCCTAGCTTGACGGTGCTCATGGTCTTATCTCGGGGCTACCATGCGCTGGCCTCGGAACTTCGGAGCTCGCAACTCTGGGCACCGGACTTTTGTGGGGTTCCCTTTTTGGACAAAGGGATCTTCAACTGGGTGCCGGTCACTGATGACCAAATGGGGGAATACCATAAGGACAACCACCCTTGTAGGAGAGCAAAGAGTCGCCCTTTGGCACCTCCGAGTTGCAGACCTTGAAGTGGACTCGAGAGGCGGGATTTGGTGCTGATCATGGATTCACGGGGAGCTCACTCATGGTCCGTCAGGGGCTTTCCAAGTCCTTGTGGAAGGTGGGTTCTTTTAAACCACCATGTGGGTGTGTGTGCGTGTGTGTATGTGTGTCTGTTTGTGTGTCTCTGTGTGTGTGTGTGTGTCTTGTGTGTCTGTGTTTGGTGTCTGTGTGCCTGTGTCTGTGCGTGTGCGTGCGCGCGGGCGGATGTGTGTGCGTGTGTGGTGTGTGTTGTGTAAGTGTAAGTGTCAGTGTCAGTGTCAGTGTCAGTGTTTGTGTGTGTGTATGTGAGTGTGTGTGTGTGGGTGTGTTTTGTGTGTTTGTGTGTTTGTGTGTTTGTGTGTGTGTTTGTGTGTGCTTGTGTGCTTGTGTGCTTGAGTGTTTGTGTGCTTGTGTGCTTGTGTGCTTGTGTGCTTGTGTGCTTGTGTGCTCGTGTGCTCGTGTGCTTGTGTGCTCGTGTGTTTGTGTGGTTGTCTGTTGGTGTGTTGGTGTGTTGGTGTGTTGGCGTGTTGGTGTGTTTGTGTGTGTGTTTTTGTGTGTGTTGGTGTGTTTCTTTTTTGTGTTGGTGTGTTTGTGTGTTTGTGTGCTTGTGTGGTTGTGTGTGTGTTTGCATGTGTGTGTGTGTGTGTGGGTGCGTGCGTGCGTGCGTGCATTTTGACAAACCCGTGGTGCGTGCGCCGCGCGCGCGAGTGTCTGTGTGTGTGTGTGTGCGCGTGTGTGCGCGTGTGTGCGTGTCGTGTCGTCCGTGCGTGTGCGTCTGCGTGTGTCTGCGTGCCTGCGTGCCTGCGTGTGTGTGGGTGTGGGTGTCTGCGTGTGTCTGGGTGTGTCTGTGTGTGTCTGTGTGTGTCTGTGTGTGTCTGTGTGTGTCTGTGTGTGTCTGTGTGTGTCTGTGTGTGTCTGTGTGTGTCTGTGTGTGTCTGTGTGTGTCTGTGTGTGTCTGTGTGTGTCTGTGTGTGTCTGTGTGTGTCTGTGTGTGTCTGTGTGTGTCTGTGTGTGTGTGTGTGTGTCTGTGTGTGTCTGTGTGTGTGATTGTGTGTGTGATTGTCTGTGTGTGATTGTGTGTGTGATTGTCTGTGTGATTGTGTGTGTGTGCTATTGTGTGTGTGTGTGTGTTTGTTTGCTTGTTTGTTTGTGTGTTTGTTTGTTTGTTTGTTTGTTTGTTTGTTTGTTTGTTTGTTTGTTTGTTTGTTTGTTTGTTTATTGTTTGTTTGTTTGTTTGTTTGTTTGTTTGTTTGTTTGTTTATTGTTGTTTGCTTGTTTGTTTGTTTGTTTGTTTGTTTGTTTGTTTGTTTGTTTGTTTGTTTGTTTTGTTTGTGTGTTTGTTTGTTTGTTTGTTTGTTTGTTTGTTTGTTTGTTTGTTTGTTTGTTTGTTTGTTTGTTTGTTTGTTTGTTTGTTTGTTTGTTTGTTTGTGTGTGTTTCTCCTTGTATGTGTGTGTGTTTGTATGTGTGTGTGTGTGTTTGTGTGCGTGTGGGTGTGTGCGTGTTTGTCTGTGTGTTTCTGTGTTTGTATGTTGTGTGTTTGTGTTTTTTTGTGTTTGTGTGTTTCGGTGTTTGCGTGTTTGTGTGTTTGTGTGTTTGTGTTTGTGTGTGTGTGTGTTTCTGTGTGTGTTTGCTTTGTGGCTTCTTGTGTGTGTTTGGATGAGGTTTGCTGATCTGGTGACAGCTTTTGCTCGAACAACAAAAGTCGCAAAAAAAACGCGCTTTTTTTTTGCACCTCGACCACGCCGATCCCCGCACAAATCGCACGAGCCAAAACAAAATCGAAAACAACCTCGAGTTTTTGCACCTCGACCATGCCGATC